GAAAATATTTCGGAGATAGATTCTATTCTGCAGTATAGAATCTATAGATCTATATCAGTTTTATTTTAAGAAAATTTCACAGTCATTTGGGGTCAGATTCTCTCCCCCCCCCCCCCCCCAACGTTATACACCCCTGTAAACAACACTATCAAAAATATTTTAATATTTAAACACAAATGAGACATCTGTAGCCTAATTAATTCGGCGTGAACGGTTTGACCCATTTTACAGACTTTTTTTTTTACTGTCAAACCGTTACGCCTAATTTTAACTGTCATTTTTACGCACCGAAAATCTACCGGCAACACTATCGATAGTTTGGACTGATTTTTACTGCTTAAACATGAAAGTAACTTCAATGTCCTCTAAAAATCAATAGAATATAAATTCTTGTACTAACTTCTCCTAGAAAAAATATTAGATTGTACCTGTCTTAACGCATACATTCGATTAATTTCAAATTTGTACTGTCTACATTATCTTTGGCGGACATGTTATGACCAGAGCTGCATCAGTACTAAGGGTGTTGTACTTAAGTACCAGTACCAGTACTTGGCAAATTATGCAGTACCATTACCAGTACCAGTACTAGATTTTAGCTCGGTACTGCAGTACCAGTACTTTTTTTGGTGAAGTAATTAAGTATCAGTACCATAACTTTTATATATTCATCAAAGTTTGAATAAATACAGTCTCAAACAAATAATTGCAAATATTATTCAGCAAAGAAATAAAATCATTTACTTTAAAGTTAACATAACATATTTACAACTTTATGGTTTTAACATACTTTTTACAAACAATATTTACAACATATATTCATGTCATATCTAATTGTTTAGTAACCAGTCAAGTGTATAAATACAATGCAAACATCTTTCATTTAAAACACAACAGTCTTTTGTTGCCTTTCACACCTCTGTTCAATTTATACCAAAGTAAATGACAACTTTTTATGGTGCTAACAATGTCACTTTTTTCACTTAAAATGGGATTATTTAGAATAGAAGAAATTAATTACTGTTTATTTTGCTCTTTTACTAGTAAATACAAAGTAATAAAAGATATTAATAAGGATAGTTTAGGGTAAAGAGTTATTGAGTCTGTTTATTTACTTAAAGTCTTTGGTGCTTTTTATGATGGATACTATGTTAACATTTGAAGGAATATTGCAGCAAATTATCTTTAGATTTGATAACTTACTTTTTCACAAAAATAAAATATAGTTAATGTAATTTACAGCTTTATTTTATGAGGAAAATTGATGCTATTTTTAATTTCTATCAAAACCAAAAGTACTGGGTAATGCAGTAGCAGTACCACTTTTTAAGACAGTAATGCAGTACCAGTACCAGTAGTAGCAAAATTTTGTAAGAGTAATTCAGTATCAGTACCAGTACTTGCAAAATTGCTGCAGTACGTACTGCAGTACCAGTATCAGTACCAGTAATGCAGCTCTGGTTATGACGTCATCGTAAAAAATCGATTCCGTGAAAGCTGGTAGTACCTACCAGTGTGTCTAGCAGGTAAGTTTGGGTAACGCAGGAAGATTAACTTGCAAAAAATATAGGGGAAATAAATCTTTTCATTATTTTGTAATAAATTTGTTTATTATTAAATACTAATGAAAAAATACCAATGTGTTTAACATAAACTGCAATGGTAGCAAATAGGTACAAGTACTGTTGTTTAATATTTTTTAAATGTTTTAATTTACAGTAACATGTGATCAACACTTATCAATAGGTGGTTTGCCTTCTTGTTTACTGCTAATGACTGCCAATGTCACTCTCGCAAAAAATACTGACTTCATTTATACATGCATATTTATATGACAATTAAGAACGTAAAAGAAATTTAATATTTATGGGAACTTTGAATGCACATCAAATTATTCAGTATTTGTACAAATAATATTTCAAGAGTTCTTTTTCACTAATTGCCGATAAATAATACCATATCAAACCTACTGATGAAGGTTAATGTCTTCTTGACATACTTTATTAATTTACTAAAAGGAACTTTATTGTGATCCAGCCATATGCTGTGTAACTATAAGGGAAGGGTCACATATTTTAATTGAAATAGATTTTTTTTAAATAGAGGATATTAAAAAAGGTCATTGAGAAGATAAGAATTTTCAAATGAACAGATTAAGAGACTTGTACATGTTTAAGGTGTATGTCTTGTTGTTTTATACTGTTTTGGTGCACTTTTGTTTGTGTCTTTTGTTTTCTCGTCTATGGTAAGTGTCTTCCTTTTGCCCCTAGTTTTATTTCTTTATTTCGCCCCCTCCCCCTTCCTTGAATTTCCTATCCCCTTCCCATGTGCTCGTTTACTTAGAGGCCCTATTAATCATTCATTTATTTTCTTTGATTTTGATTTCCTTGTCAGTTACCATTATTTCTTCATATGTTACTGTATCATTTTAGTAAAAAGCCTGACCGTGCTCTCCCTTGCGCCCTGTCTTGTTTTTGTTTAGGATCCTCCTGGGCTCCTTGCCAATGGTTCTTGTTCGTGGGTCGTGTTGGGGTTGCGTTCATTGAACGTCACCTTTCCTTGTTCATCTTGTTTAACATATTTTATACATGTATACCGAACCGTAACAAACACATAATGATTATTAATACAAGGTTCGGCAAGCAAGCAAAGAAATGTAAAGAAAATAGAAAAAAACTTATCCACCTATCTCCCCGTCTTAAAACACCCACAAAAAACGCCTAAAACTGCAAAACCGAAACATAAATACACATAAGTGCCCAAGACGGCTCTGGTAGGTGCAAGTGCTCCATTGCGTCGGTTTAAACATAACTTAAACATAATAATGTTGAAATTTTTAGTCAACACCCACAGATGTGTACAAAATACGGAGATAATCATGGAACTTTCAATGTGACACATTCGAGGTGCCGTTTGAAATGAAAAGCGGGCACTAGATAACATGGAATTTTGCGACAGTCCAGGGACTACCTTGGACTGAAAATTTAGGGAGAAGTGACTTCTCCCTTCAGAAAAAATAGGGGGAAGTTTTGAAATTTAGGGAGAAGTGATCATCAAATCGAGTTATATCATTGGATTTTTTTTTCTTATTCTATTTTACAAAATATACATGTACATGCATATAAAATATACATGTATATGGCATGGAAAATAAACAAATGTGTATTTGAAAATCGCTATGATGATATTTAATGAAGCATTAGTTGCTCAATAAAGTTTATTTAAGCATTTCATTTACATCAACACAACATTTTTTAATTTTTTTTAGGTTCAATAGTTTCTGACTCTAACTTTTAAATGCAATTTACTAAGAAGAAAAGTTCTCTTATTCATAATAATTATCCAAATTCTATCAATTTACGTCAGTTTTAATGATTAATATTACTATCATAAATGTAATGGTGATAACAAACGTATATGAGATATTGTAAATCAAACAAGACATATAGGGGAACCGTATAATCAATGCGCTATTTTTGGCGATGTACGTGGGTTTCCAAGTGTGAATTCCAAATGTCGCTATGGCCACGCTTCAGCATGTGTGCTAATTACATCAGATTACACAATTAAATCTGCCTCCAGGCAGTATTATCGAGTGGAGAAATGTACATGTCAGACATTTCATAGAGATTTTAGGGCGTCTAGAATTTTTGCTTTTTCGATCATATAGGGCGAAGTGAGAATATTTACAGCGAAGTTTTCGCCTCACTTCGCCCTGAACGCAGTCCCTGCAGTCGTTCTAACAGACGACTACAGTAATTTAAGCAGACTATCTTGTCTTACATTGTTATGTTATTCTACGTCTAAATTACGGTCACTTAATTCCCACTTGCTGCGTTTTTTATCATAAACCCCGTCATATCTGTGCAACAATTGCATTTTACTGAGAGCTGTAATTTCTTAACTTGAGAAAAGGCACTGAAGTGTGAAATTTTAAGGGTTTTTTTTTCAGAAGTTTAAGTTATTTTTGGTTGCTTTGAACTTCTTCTCCTACGCAACTGTCCTCAATATTGTTTTTAAGATAATAAACTAGAAATTGATATGGAGTGTAATACAAATTGAAATTCTTCTTTGCTTCATCATGTATAGTATTTATAATATAATTCATTAAGATATACCTAAAATTACATTGTATTTTCGTATGTGGGGAATCAAAGGCAGTTCAGAAATTTCACCTAATGATCACAGATGTATAATTTCTAATTTGACAGTTTTAATGATCTTATGTCGGACATCATAAACTATTTAATTTCTAAGTAAGGTTGTCAGAATTTCCTTTTTACATTTTATTTTTAATGCTGAAATATTCGTGTGTGAATATAAGAGTTATTCCTGCAATAATTCACACCAATAACAAATTGTATTATAAGGCTTGCGTATACAATCGATTGCCACCGATACCTGTGTTACACCATGAAATGTCACAATTTCACCATGACACCGCTTCCAATATGGCCGCTTTCAATAATTTTCAACGATTTAAAAAAATAAAGTGGAATATTTAGACTTATGTTTGACTTTGAAGTATGATAATTTGGAACCTTACATAAAAAACGGTCCTCTTTCAGGTAATGTAGGCTGTTTCTTTAAAACTTTTCTAGTTTTCGCTCCCAACAACTTCTAATCGGGAAGCGTCCGTGCATAAAAATGCAGTTCGTGGTTGGACTTGGAAAAAAGACAGCGCCCGTCCAAAATTATCTCGGTGTCTCTTTGACAAGTCTAATTAGTTGGACTAAGACATCTGTTACAATACAATGGTTAAAGTTTAAACTTGTTTTCAAACAATTTTTACGTAATTTTTTACTCTTAACCACTAACGCAATTTCAATGAAACGTTACAGGATTGATCAGTAGGTCAAGTACTTGGGCATATTACACAGGTTTTCTTGTTGAATGATTTTTGGCCAAGTTATGGCCCTGAAATAAAAAAGGTGTTAATAAACTTTGTCTGGACTACTCCTCTTGTACCACTAATTATTGCAATTTCAATCAAACTTTACTGTTACGTTTACATGATTGATTGGTAGCTCAAGTACTTGCCGTAATACACAGGTTTTCAGCTTGAATGATTTTTGGCTGAGTTATGGCCCTTGAATAAAAAGATGTTGTTTTGTCTAGCCAGCTACACAGAAGCTTGTCTGGACTACACCTCAGAAACTGCTGACTTGTGCAATTTCTTCAAAACTTTTTGTAGGGTCATTGAAGGATCTTTGTAGACAAAGGGGATATTAGAATTGGTCTCCATCCAGACATCTGTGCATCCCAGTTTTTCTGGATCATAACTCCAAAATTACTTTTAAAAAGCAATTTTCTTCAAACTTCATACACTGATGGAGCACATTAGGAAGTGCAATGTTGAAGACAATAACTCTATAAAATTATTACCCTTTATCAGATTTACTTAACAAACTTTGTCCAAAGTGTTATATAACTCCAATTTCCAAAAGTACGTATTTAACTTCATACACTGAGAAAAGCTGACTGAGCACATTGGTAGGAATTGCAGTGTGCAAGAACAAAAACTCTACCTTGATTTACTTGAAAAACTTTGTCAAGCATACTATAGTACTATACATAAAAAATATATAAGAACAAAGAGAATGATAGCTATAATCATTTACTTATTTTCACTGACTCTGAATAGATAATATTTTTAACTAGACATAATATCATATTTGCTAAAGTTTTTTGTTCACAGACACACACCATAGATACATTTAAGTCAGTGGGAAATCTGTTACATTCCATCAACTATCATCCAGCATGTGTCTTGTAAATATTATGTTGAATGCTTTTAACTTTAGGTCTGCTTTATTAAGGTCGTGTACTATCTTATTTTACTGTTGTTTAGTTTAATGTCTAGGAAAGACTTTCTATTAATACACTATATATAGTAACAAAATTGCCTATGATTTCAACTGATTAAATTTATGAGTGTCACATGACCTATTATGAGTTTGCAGTTAACTGCAAAAGTGAAAGTAGGTTTTTAGCACAAATTGCTTGATTTTATTATAAGAGCTTAAGCGTATTTCGTACAAACACAGTTTTTAGCTCACCTGTCACTTTGTGACAGGGTGAGCTTTTGTGATCATTTTTCGTCCGTCGTCCCGCTTTTCGTCCGTCGTCCGTCTGTCGTCCGACCGTAAACTTTTACTTTAAATGACATCTCCTCATAAACCACTAAGCCAATTTCATGCAAACTTCACAGGATTGTTCCTTTGGTGGTCACCTTTGAAAATTGTTCAAAGGATTTAAATTCATGCAGAACTCTGGTTGCCATGGCAACCAAAAGAAAAAACTTTAAATTTCTTCTTCTGAAAAACCCAAAGAGCTAGAGCTTAGATATTTGGCATGAAACATCTTCTAGTGAGTGTCTACCAAGTTTGTTCAAATAAAAGCCCTGGGTTCAAAATTGGCCCGGCCCCAGGGGGTCATTTATTTTCCCTAAATGTATATAGTAAAAACTTAAAAAATCTTCTTTTAAAGAACCCAAAGAGTTAGAGCTAAGATATTTAGAATGAAACATGTTCTAATGGATGTCTACCAAGTTTGTTCAAATAAGAGCCCTTGGGTTAAAATTGGCCCCGCCCCAGGGGACATTGATTTTCCTTATATGTGTATAGCAAAAACTTAAAAATCTTCTTCGAAAAAACCTGAATAGCTAGAGTTTAGATATTAAGCATGAAACATCTTCTAGTAAGTGTCTACAAAGAATGTTCAAATAAAAGCCCTGGGGTTAAAACTGGCCCTGCCCCAGGGGTGTAATTGTTTTTAAATATATGTGTAAAGAAAAAACTTAAAAAATTTTCTTTTAAAAAACCCAACGAGCTAGACCTTAGATGTTTAGCATGAAACATCTTCTAATGGGTGTCTACCAAGTTTGTTCAAATAAAAGCCCAGGAGTTTAAACTTGCCCCGCTCCGTGGGGCCTATATATAGGTGAGCGACTTCAGGGCCATCATAGCCCTGTTGTTTAACTATTGAAATTGAAAGAAATAATATGACAAATTCATTCCAAAAAAAAAAATGAAAATAAAACTTGTTTCTAGATTCTAGTGTACTTTATACATACAAAAGGTAAACAACTCTGTAGAAGTTACTATACAGTAGAAATACAGACAGGAATTTCACCGAAAGAAATATCAAAATTAATTTTTTTTTTAGGAAAATGGTATTATTAGCTCTTCTAAGTGTATTAAAGACACTAATACACATCATAGTTGTGCCAAAAAGTGATAACTGGCCCAGAAATGAATAATGAAACTTGTTCAAACATTAAACAAATACAAAGCTGAATGTTAAAACAGTGACAGACATTAGGAAACATCCAGAACAATGCTGAATTCTGTGAGACTAGTCTGGTCTGGTCACATACATGTACACACAATTTAACATAAAATTTAATATATATGATAGAATATTCAGTTTATTTTATAAAAATATATGTTAATGTTGTTTTACAGGGTGGATAATTGTAAGGGTGTGGATGTATATTGTATAATGGGTATTTAACTTTTCTTATCGTTCACTGAAGCAGATAAACATTAGTCAGAAATGTAGTTTATAAATATTTGAAGTAGATGATATATAAATTCAATACACTACATAAGTTATATTGTACAATGATTGGAAATATAACCCATATATTACTACAGTGTCATCAGCAAGACTAGAAAAGGATGTGTATACAAATTGTATGATTATAATGTTTTAGCTGAAAGTAATTATCTATTAAAGGTGATTATGAGTGTAATTATTATCTTAAAATTTACATGAGGTGAAAATGTAATATACATTAGAGTATCCTTTAAAAGTTGTGAACTTTATTTTATATGAAATGTGAACTTTATTCTTTAAAAATTGTGAACTTAACTCTATATGAAATGTACACTTTATTCTTTAAAAGTTGTGAACTTAACTCTAAATGAAATGTATACTTTATTCTTTAAAAATTGTGAACTTTATTTAATATGAAATGTTAACTTTATTCTTTAAAAATTGTGAACTTTATTCTGTATGAAATGTGATCTTTGTAAATCTTAATATCCGTAATAGTGTGAACTTTTCATGTTTCTTATATACAGGGAAATTTACATATAGCAGTGGTAAATTATGTAAAAACATTTGAAAAATTGCTAAAAAAAAATTTTCATTTAGTTTCCAATTTAATTTCTTTTAAGAATTCTAAAAACCACTTTGTTGATAGTTTTAAGCATGTGTTTTTTGTTCTTTAATAATTCAAAAAGGATTTTAAATTTTTAAATTTTTTTGGGGAAACAACAATTTTTGGACTGTAAATTTGTAAATTTTAATCCCCTGAAAAACCTGTTATAACCTGTTATAATGTTAACATCTTTACTGGCTTTGAACTAAATTTCATTTAATAACAAACCTGTGTTAACAGGATTAAATGTTTACAACACGCTGCCATTAAATTCTGTCTGAAATAAATGTTATTAAGTGCTTTTAAACAATGTACATTTATAACATGTAGGCAGTTAGTTTTTGCTTGTAAATGTTGTAACATTGAAGGTTACACTGTTATGTCTGGTTGTCACAAATAGATAAGAAAGTTCCTAGTTTCTGCATATAGGGATTGAGTGTTAGCAAATGACATGGAATTTGGGGGTAGTACTAGTAGTATCATTGTGATGTTTTAACAACACTTTTATATTCATATACATAATATAAAATAGAAGCATAACATTTTGTCACCTAAGTGCAATAACACAATAACTTCTTCTAAATTTTTATAGGAGATAATCAGTTATTGCACTATTGAAGTTTAAGATTTATACTACAAAGGCTTGTTTTGATTAAGGTTTATTTGAGTGATTTATTTACATTTGGTGTAAAAGCATATTAAATTTGTTACAAGTGTTTCCAATTACTGGTTAACTGTGAATAAGGTTTTTATTCCCAGATTTTACCAGTTTAATGTGATTCACACGAGAAATTTTGTTGAATACATTAAGTTAAATATTAACATCAATTGTTCATGATGTAGTAATTGAAATGTTGGTTCTTTTTTTTTCCAGTTAAACTTTGGAGTTAATCTCAGGAATACAGGACTTTGGTTTAAGTATAGCGAACATTTTGTGAGGGACATTTACACTATAAATATAGAATGAGTGTTAAGAGTATATGCTGTATAGGGGCGGGATATGTGGGCGGTCCTACATGTAGCGTGATAGCATATAAATGTCCGGACATCAAGGTGACAGTGGTTGACCTTAGTAAAGAGAGGATCTCACAGTGGAATTCTGATGTTTTACCTATATTTGAGGTTAGTTTTACCTATATTTCAGGTTAGTTTTACCTATATTTGAGGTTAGTTTTACCTATATTTGAGGTTAGATAATTTAATGTTGCTTTATATGTCTGCATTTACAGAATGTGTTACAACAGAAAATACAGTCAAACTTACATTTATGACAAAACCATACATGGTAAAATAAAAATAGAGTAGCTATTATTGACATGTGGTCAATCATGAAGGTAAATTCTGCAGGATTTTTTTATACAGGAAATAGAATTTTTGGCCATTTTGTAGAATTTTCTGTAAATTTTGGGCCCTTTATTGGGGATTTGATCCTAGACACGGGTTTTTTTTACAGTTAGACATTCTTTTGGGATTTTTTGGTACATTTAACCTTTACCTGTGAAACTTTTATTAATGGAAAAACACAGTGGACCACCCATGTTTTAATGAAATAAAGAAATGTCTGTTGTATTTTTAGCTCAACCTGTCACAAAGTGACCAGGGTGAGCCTTTTTGTGATCAGCTTTTTCGTTCCAAACGTCCGGCCATTCCGTCCGTCCGTAAACTTTTAACTTTAAATGACATCTCCTCATAAACCACTAAGCCCCAATTTCATCCCAAAAACTTCACAGGAATGTTCCTTTGGGTGTCACCTTTTAAAAATTGTTTCAAAGAATTTAATTTCCATTGCAGAACTCTGGTTGCCATGGCAACAAAAGAAAAAACTTTAAATATCTTCTTTTAAAAAACCAAAAGAGCTAGAGCTTTAGATTATTTGGCATGAAGCATCTTTCTAGTGAATGTCTACCCAAAACTTTGTTCAAAATTAAAAGCCCTGGGGTTAAAAATTGGCCCCTGCCCCGGGGGTCATTGATTTTCCCCTATATGCATTATAGTAAAAAACTTAAAAAATTCTTTCTTTTTAAAAAACCAAAAAGAGCTAGAGCTTAAAGGTATTTAGCATTGAAAAACATCTTCTAATGGAGTGTCTACCAAGTTTGTTCAAAATAAAAAGGCCCTGGGGTCAAAATTGGCCCCGCCCCAGGGGGTCATGATTTTCCCTAAATGCATATAGCTAAAAACTTAAAAAATCTTCTTTTAAAAACTCAAAGAGCATAGAGCTAAGTAATTATAGCATGGAAACATGGTTCTAATGGGTGTCTTACCACAAAGTTTTGTTCAAAAAATGCCCTGGGTCAAAAAATTGCCCCGCCCTGGGGTAATTGATTTTCCTTATATGTGTATAGCAAAAAACTTCAAAAATCTTCTATGGAAAAAAAAAACCCAAATAGCTTAGAGTTTAGATATTAAGCCATGAAACATCTTCTAGTGAGTGTCTACAAAGTTTGTTCAAATTAAAAAGCCCTGGGGTTTCAAAATTTGGCCCTGCCCGGGGTGTCATTTGTGATTTTCCTTATATGTGTATAGGGCAAAAAAACTTAAAAATCTTCTTTTGAAAAAAACGAAAAAGCTAGAGTTAAGTAATATTAAGCGTTGAAACATCTTGTCTAGTAAGTGTCACAAAAAGTTTGTTTCCAAATTAAAGCCCCTAGGGTCATAACTGCCCCGCCCTTTTGGGGTTCATTGTTGTAAGATATATTTGTATAGTAAAAAGCATAAAAAAATCTTCTTTAAAAAACCCAATAAACTTAGATATTTAAGCATGAAACATCTTCTTATTGGTGTCTTTACCAAGTTTGTTCAAATAAAAAAGCCCTTGGGTTTAAAATTGGGCCCTGCGGGAGGGGGGGGGGCAGGTAATTGTTTTTTATTATATGTGTTAGTAAAAACTAAAAACAAACTTTGAATCATCTTCTAATGGGGTCTTTTTCCAAGTTTGTTTCAAAAATAAAAGCCCCTGTGGGTTTAAAAAACTGCCCTGCCCGGGCCAACTTAATTTACAGGGAGCCAACCTCAGGCCATCATGGCCCTCTTGTTTAATGGAGGGACAGTAGTGAATAACCTCCCCTGAGTACTCCCTAAAAAATAGATTTAGGTCCTAAGCTATTGGATTACTCGGACTTTATCGCCTATTTTCTTTTGTAGCAAAAACTGAATTGAATTTTAGGGCTAATTATAATCATTTGTTAATATTCAGATTAGATATTACGATAAAGATGTAGAATCTGTTTGACATAAATTTTAAACATTTTTTCCTTAAAGGGTTTAAATATTATGTTGATTGCCATCTGTGTAAAATAATTTTGATTAAAGACATATTTTTTCAACCGTTCTATATAAAAACTCAACGATAAAAGCAAAGGATTCCAAATATTTGGACCTACTTAAATTTTGGTTAACCTCGGTTTTTATCAAGGGAAGATAATCCACTACTGTCCCCCATTACATTACTGTAAAGGGTGATATACAGACATGATATGACAATTACTGTAAGTAGTTTATAACCATATATGACATTATTTCTGTTACGGCAGACCCTATACACTTAATAAATGCACATTATCTGAGATAAGAAACTAATACCATACTTATACCCTAACTTTCAAAATTTCAGCCTGGTTTAGATGATATAGTAAAGTCAGTGAGGAACAAGAATTTGTTCTTCTCTACAGATATCAACCCGGCCATCAATGATGCTGACTTAATATTCATCTGTGTTAATACACCTACCAAAAGTTATGGCCTCGGAAAGGTGAGAATTTCTTTTTATACATGTAATAATAGTGTTCTCCACCTAAATTGTAGTATTTATATAAAGTGTAGTTAATAAAATCTTCATACATGAATGTGGTCACTTGATTCCATTCTATGACATGATATACTGGTATCATGGTCATTGTGTAAAATTGAACTGTTTGTAATTACATAATGTATGTTAGTCAATGTTTGTGATTGTTTTATTGCTGTATAAGTGTAATCTATAGTAATTGAAATCTTCATGTTGTCATTTTGTTGAAGTGCTACTAAACAAAATCCAGAGACTTGTTGTAGTTTATATAAATTTACATGTGTATTTTAGTTTGATTGTGTTGGAAGCTATAAGCTAATTGAAACACTCCCAAATCTGTTCCTGGAACCAACCAGTATTAAGCAATGAATGATAAGTTCCTTCCTCAAGAAAACAACAGTTTTCCCGTGGAAGGGTTTGAACCCACGCAGTCAGCAATCCTAGATTACTTGTATGAGGCATTAACCACTGGTCCAAGCCTCCATTCGAGACTTGTTCTGAAAAGTAAAACTGACATTGGTCATTCTCAAATCTGTTTTCAAATTTCAATCCAATCAAATCAGATAAGTTTGACTTGTTATTAGTTTTATGACTTCAAGATAACAAAGGTCCCAGTCTGTTAAGTTTAACCCTGTAATATTGTTTACTTCTTAACCTGTTACATTGTTTACTTGTATATTATCAGGGAAGAGCAGCAGATCTGAAGTACATAGAGTCAGCTGCTAGAATGATAGCAAATGTGTCAGCACAGTCTAAAATTGTTGTAGAGAAAAGTACTGTACCAGTCAAAGCTGCTGAAAGTATCAGTAATATTCTGAGAGCCAATCAGAAACCTGGAGTCAAATATCAGGTAAATAAGTAACATGCATTTTCCTACTATTATCCAAATAGTATGGTATCATAAAAAGTTGAAATGCATTTTGCATCATATTGATCATGCTATAATTACATGTATTGTTGATATTTTACATGCAGACTGTTCTAGCCTTTAAAATAAAATATAGAAAACACCAGCAGATTTTATAATGAAAATAAGAAAAAATAAATAAATAAAACAACATCAAAATAAAATGCAGTGAATAAACAAAAAATAAAAACAACAAAGCAGCTATAAACAGTAGAACATACAGTTACATTAACCTGTAGGTTAATTAAAATATTAAAAACACTAGCAGTTGTTTAAATGAAAATAAACAATGTTAAGAAACAAACAAAAATAAAAACAACAACAGCAAAAAAAAAAACAGCATTTAGTTTTAAAAAAAAACAACAACAACAAAAACAAGCAATAAACAACAAGGCAGTCTATGTACAGATGTTCATTTTTCAGATTATATTTCTATATACATATGATCAAGTACAATATAAGATAGACTTATAATATAGCATATAATACCAGCTGTCTCCACTATATACATGTGTTTTAGATCAGGTGACAAGATAGATTATGATGACAGGTCAATCAATAAAAAAATCTTAATTACATATGTACATAGATTGTCTTGATAGGAAATCAGTTTTATTAATTTCCTTATAGTAAAGTTACAGTTGTACAAGAGAATTATATAACAGACATTAATAAAGGAAAAGTTTTTATTCTCTTTAAGATTTGAAGTTTCTATTAAGAATTCTGATGATTTGTAAATAACCCACTTAACCCTTTACCAAATGGGTACATATGGCTGAATCGTGAAGGTCTTTGACTTCAAACCACTTGCCCCTCACCGCTGTGGGTTCGAATCCCAACAGGGACTTTGGATTCTTTCAAGTGAGGAAGCTATCCAGCTAGCTTACGGAACGTCGGTGGTTCTACTCAGGTGCCCGTTTGTGCCTGAAATAATGCACGGAAGGGCACCTGACTGACCCGAGGTCTCCCTCCACCAGTAAAGCTGGAACGTCGCGATATGACCTATACTGTTTCGATGTGATGTAAAACCCAAACAAACATATTTTATGGCATGTGCAACCAGTGCAGATCCAGATCAGCCTCTGTGCAGTCTGATTAGGATCTCCACTGTTTGCTTTTCAGTCATAAATTCTTTTATGAATTTAAAAGTGAACAGTCGGGAGATCAGGATCAGACTGCATAAATGTACAGGCTGATCTGGATCTGCACATACGTTTAAACACATGTCCATGTGGCAAAGGGTTAATTATTGTAATTAATATGTAAATTCTGATTATAATATGGTATAAGTTGACTAAAGACTCAACATTTGCTTCTTTGATCTTTGTAATTAGACCTGTATGATTATCATGATACATTGTATACTGTAAAAGATCTTGTATACTTTATACTGTGTGTACCTATTTCTGCAGGATTTATAATCTGCCATATTTTGTGTCGCCTCTACGGAGTAGTGGCGACATATAAGAATCACTTCTCCGTTGTCTGTCCGTCCGTCTGTCTGTCCGTCCGTCACAAAACTTGTCCGGACTACTTCTCATAAACTACTGGTGCAATTTCATCCAAACTTTACAGGAATGATCACTACCAAGTCTAGTTGTGCATAATGTCAGCATTTTCCAGTTCAATGATTTTTGTCAGAGTTATGGCCCTTTAATAATTTTTATTTTTAAAGTTTGTCCCGACTACTTCTCTTATACCACTTATGCAATTTCAATGAAACTGTACAGGATTGATCTGTAGCTCAAGTCCTTGCGCATATTGCACGGGTTTTCCTGTTGAATGATTTTTGGCCGAGTTATGGCCCTTCGATAAAAAGGTGTTTTCCAGATACACAAAAGCTTGTCCGGACTACTCCTCATAATCTACTGGTGCAATTTTATCCAAACTTTACAGGAATGATCAGTACCAAGGCTAGTTGTGCACTGTCCATCTGTCTGTCCGTCTGTCACAAAACTTGTCCCAACATGAAATTGGCCATCATGAGGCGACACATATGATCACTGATCGCTCTTGTGTTTCTTTTTGCATACTATATTTCTGTTGCAACATCTTGCATTGACATGTTTAATTTCTGCTGGTCTATGTCCATTTATTGAATCTGTCATTTCCCCCTAATTAACTTGATTCTATTCTCTTAAAAATATGGAATATATAGGTACAGTGGTTTTCTGATATAAGATAATCATTGTTTATATAAAAACACATTCCCTAGTAGTATAAGTCATGAAATAAAATAAAAACTAGGAATTCTTATTTCCAGTTGAAACATTAATCAGTTTCAGTGTTTGAAATTATTTTTTGTCTAATAGGATTGCAGTAATTCAAATGAATCGTAACACATTTACTTTGGTAAGTTGGCAAGCTGTGAATCAGTCTAGTAAATCGACTGTTTACAAAAATAATGTAAAACACTAAGCTGGTTAAAGTTTATTGGTATGTATTTATAAAATAAAATTGGTTGCGCAGCTGTGCCACATCTGATCAATTTAATGTTTTAGATACGTACTAATAAACTTTAACCTATACTAAATGTTAAATTACCTTGTCAGCTAAGTACCAAAATTAGTTAAATTTTCTAATAAACTTTCTCACAGTTATGTCAAATTGCCTTGATTTGTGAAGTAAAATATATTTCTTATGATAATTCATTTATAAAATTCATTAAAATTCATTTTAAAGTAAGAACATAACTCCACTTTATGTATGTGATAGCATCAATGTACCCTCTATATGTTAGCTATATTAAATGGGTGTTAACTAAGTTAATGATGCAGAAATTATACAGTATGAGATATTATATACAGATAACATTATATTGCTGGGGTATTTACAAGGATTTTTATATGTGTGTATCTTGTAATGGGTGGATCATAACAAATTTGTATACGTAGTCTACAGTAAAGAGTGGGTTATTTTTGCATGTCTCATACAGTATGTAAAAAATGTAGCATACAATTCACTTTGGGGTTCTTGTATTGCTACGCTATTTAAGAATTTACAAAATTTGAAAAAGCAAGTGTATTTTCAATAACCAGCTATTTCCTGCAATATTAATTTAGATGTTGCAGTATTGTGTTTTGAAGCTTGAATTATTCTTGAGTTTACCTCCATCTTTAAAGGCCCTTTACAGTCTATGTGAAATACCTCTATGTTTTACTAGACAGTAGCTTAAAAACCCACATCTGTAGCATTTTGAGTCACTTGATTGATGGCAAAGAAGTCGAGTTTGTGCATATAAAGAAAAGAAAAAGTTAAATATATTATCAACAAAGAAATGAACTACATGTATGTGTGGTTGAAATATTTTCTCCATAATCAAAATAACATAATATAACATAGATTACTCATAGAATATGCCACTTTCAGATGACAAAACACATGTCAGTTACATTTTTGAAGATTATTTGAAAATTTTGCATTTTTATTGGCTAGAACGTATAACAGTTGACAAGGGTATGTCTTGAGCTTACACGAGCTTATATACCAGTCAGCGCCAATGGTTTTTTGAAAAGACTGCAATTTTGCCTCACAAATCGATTTTATTTTTATTTTCGAAAGCTTTTTTTTGTGTGTTCTTTTATAGTTTCCAAAAAGGTACACATTGCCTAACTTATTAATATCTTAACCATAATTTCCGTCTGTTCGCTTTTTGGCAATTAGCACAATTATAGTGATTAAATAATTTGTACGGAAGTCAAAATACGATGTGGCTTACATTTTGCTACTATAATGATAAATAGATTAAATTTCTATGCTACTTTCTTCAAGTAATAAGCTTTTAAAATGCTCCAAAAACCATTATTTAAACATTATTAACTTTGCTCTTCCAAAAGAAGATCAAATTTATTCATTTCTGAGGCATAATGTGCATTAATTAAGTTTTCATTGATCTTTAATGTGAGGGATAATGTATATATGTTAGCTATATGTAACCATTAAACAATCTGTTACATCAATATGGCCATTAAGCAAAAACTTTACATATTTACTTTACTTTGATGTTATTTTAGAAAGGTTAAAATCAATATTAATGTATAATGTTAAGAAAACTGAAATCTTATCTTTTGAAATGAATAAGAAGATATTTCATGTGAGAACTGATTGATAGTCCGTGATGCAATCAGTAAATGAAAATTGTTATGTTTTTATTCTAATAAAAGATATTTTCAATAAGAACATGACTGTCTTAAGAAAGACTTAACATTTGCAATGCTTTGTTATTGAATTGTCTCCCTTGTTTCAAATATGTTTGTTTTAATATTTTTTGATAATTTAGAAAAAGAAAAAAAAAATGGAGCAGTGCACCTGCCTGGCGTTGGCTCTTGTTTAACCTTAACATTATCAATTATCTAGCTTGTATCATATACTCATATATAATGTACATGTAATGTCAGTATAATAAAGTTAGTTTGTATGTAATTATATCATTCTATAAAACGTCTACCTTTATTTCAGGTTTTGTCCAATCCAGAATTTCTGGCTGAGGGGACTGCAGTAAAAGATCTTCTAAATCCTGACCGTGTTTTGATTGGTGGAGAGCAGAATCAGGAAGGGCAGCAAGCTATAGCCGCACTAGCTAGTGTGTACATGCACTGGGTACCTAAAGATAATGTCATCACAATGAACACATGGTCATCAGAACTTTCCAAACTGGTCAGTTTATATTATTACACATTTTTTTATATCAAGAATGTATTATACCAGTATACATTATTAAATAAGTGACCATGAATGATAATTAGACTGTTGACTGTCTGTAGTGCAGAGTTGATTCAAATGATATTCTCCCAGAAAAACTTGACCAAATACGACAGAATTTATCTGTGATGTTTCTTCCATACAGAAATTTGAAAGCTGTTCTATATGATTTCAGTCTGTTGTATATTTTGAGGGGGGGGGGGGGGGGGCAGATATTAAAAATTAGACCTATTAAAATCTTCTTCTCCAAAATCCTATGGCACATAAGTTGTGTTAGTAATACTACTTAGACCTACCAATCTATGCAAATCATAATCCAGCGTTCAAAGTTGGTTATGCCTTAAAGGACGAACTTAAATTTCCTTAGACTGATAGAGAAAATCTTTTGAGTACATATTTTCTTGTTAGAAACATGAAGGGATTGTGTTAAGATGTTTTACTGTTATATGACTTTGGTTTCTACAAAATGTGTACAAACCAAGGGTCATTTGGTTTTTGTGCCCCCACGTTAGTGGCGGGCATTTAGATTTACCCTTGTCCGTCCGTCCGTCAGTCCGTCCGAGCAGACGAGAGCTACATTATGAGGTTTAGGTTTATGTACAGGCACTCTGTATGGGGTTCATTCCGTAGAGACATGTATTATGTGGTTAAAAATGCTCTTATGGGGTTAAAAAAATTTGAAAAAGAGATCAAAGGAATAACCCCACAAACACGTCTGCTAAGTAAGTCCGTCCTTCCGTCCATCCGTCCGTCCGTCTGTTCACTTTTGTGTCGCACGTAACTCAAAAAGTATTTGACCTAGAGTCATGAAACTTTACAGGAATGTTAATCAGCATGTGCAGTTGTGCACCTGGGTATTTTCGTCTGGATATTTTTAGTATTTTCAGAGTTATTGCCCTTGACTTAGTTAAATTTTGCAATTTTCAACTTGTGTCGCATGTAACTCAGAAAGTATTTGACCTAGAGTCATGAAACTTTACAGGAATGTTGATCAGCATGTGTAGTTGTGCACCTGGGTATTTTCGTCTGGATATTTAAAGTATTTTCAGAGTTATTGCCCTTGAGTTAGTAAAATTTGGCAATTTTCAACTTGTGTCGCATGTAACTCAAAAAGTATTTGACCTAGAGTCATTAAACTTTACAGGAATGTTGATCAGCATGTGTAGTTGTGCACCTGGGTACTTTCGTTTGGAAATTTTTATTATTTTCAGAGTTATTGCCCTTGACTTAGTAAAATTTTGCAATTTTCAACTTGTGTCGCATGTAACTCAAAAAGTATTTGACCTAGAGTCATGAAACTTTACAGGAATGTTGATCAGCATGTGTAGTTGTGCACCTGGGTATTTTCATCTGGATATTCTTAGTATTTTCAGAGTTATTGCCCTTGACTTAGTAAAATTTTGCAATTTTCAACTTGTGTCGCAAGTAACTCAGAAAGTATTTGACCTAGAGTCATGAAACTTTACAGGAATGTTGATCAGCATGTGTAGTTGTGCACCTGGGTATTTTCGTCTGGATATTTTTAGTATTTTCAGAGTTATTGCCCTTGAGTTAGTAAAATTTGGCAATTTTCAACATGTGTCGCAGGTAACTCAAAATATATTTGACCTAGAGTCATGTAACTTTACAGGAATATTGATTAGCATGTGCAGTTGTGCACCAGGTATTTTCGTCTGGATTTATTTAGTATTTTTAGAGTTATTGCCCTTCACTTAGAAAATTTTTGCAATTTTCAACTTGTGTCGCAAGTTTCCAAAAAGGATTTGACATAGTCATTAAACCTTATAGGCAGGTTGCTCAGCATATTTTAGATTTGCACCTGGGGTTTTGCTTGTGGATTTATCCAGTATTTGTAGAGTAATTTCCCTTGACTTAGTAAAAAGATTGACAGAACAGTGGCGCCATGGGGGCACCCGTGTCCTATGGACACATTTCTAGTTTTATGCTGACTTGCATAGGTAAAGTCTTTAGAAAAATTCTTGTCTGTGCCCATGAAATTTAGGTGTATAATGGTCAGATGTGTATTGTATATCTCAACTAATATGTTTTGACCATGGTTCGTTACAGGCAGCAAATGCTTTCCTAGCACAGAGAATCTCCAGTATAAATGCTATGTCAGCAGTATGTGAGTACACAGGAGCTGATGTATCCGAGGTGGCACATGCCGTCGGTATGGACTCAAGAATTGGCAATAAATTCCTCAAAGCTAGTGTTGGTAAGTTTATATCGTACAATCATGTTCTTCATTTGTGATGTTTTGTTGTTTTATGGTTGTTGTAGAAATAATTTAACACATATTTATTATTAGCAATTATTATATAGACTATAACACTGTATCGTCAGTCTACTATAGATTGTTTTATCACTATTTTAAATTTACAATCTGAACCAGTGTTTTAACTGAAAGCCAGCATATTACGAAATATATAGAAAGACTAGAAATTTTACACTAGTGGAATCTTAAACTATATTTTCAGTTATTTGCGCAATTTTTTTTGTGTTCTGTTGAGTATGACTTGTATTCTTTTTACACCTCCCTTCAATATTTATAATCAACATAATATACTTCATCTTTTCAAGTTCATTGAAGCCAAAAAAAAAATAATCCTGATGTTCCACATATTATGGCCAAATTTTACAGACACTTGGGGGGTCTGTGAAACTTGTTATGATTCTAGGACCCCTGAACATTTGCTTGCTTCTTTAACTGTGCCGTGTGGCAAACATTTGTCCTCTCATATGTCTTAAAAATAGCTAACATTTGCCTCCAATTATCCCCCAAAGAATTTGGATGGCAGACATTTGCATGTTTTCTTCTCATTTGATGTTAACCTGTGTACACAATTTTTATATAAGAATTAATAGTTTCTGCAATGTTCTTGAACATTTCAGTTATATGTCTGATCCTTGTTTATTTATAATTATATACATAAAAATCATGATGAATTTAAAAATTGTAAAAATGAATGCTTAAAATGTTATTTTTAAAAAAATGTATGGAAAATGAAACGTAAAGCAACAATCAGAACTAGGAAATTATACCTCCAACTTTTGTTTTTGCTTAAAATTAATTTTATATTTACACAACAAACTTTAAATTTAACATAGGTGTTACAGGGGGCATAAAGGATTGGAGGTTCCTTATTTGACTTTTGGCCATTTAGTGTCAGCTATTAATGACACTGAAATTCTTACTGACCGGAACACTCAATATAAATATTTATCACACACTTGTGCCGCTTAAACAAATCCGTAAAAATCATATTGCACGGCCGTGCATATATTTTGATGTGACATCATTTTCATTATGTAAACATAGCATTAAGACATGCTCAAATGTTAGCACTATACTATAGGTGGGCCAATGGTTCTTTTTCAATTCAAACGATCTTTAATATTGGTATGTGATAAATAGAATATCATAATATTATGTAATATTCGTATAAGTTCATTACTAAATTTATCGAAATTGTTGAATAAAATAATCTTATGCTAGCCAGAGGCTCGCATAATTTAATTCAATCAACTCGTTCAATAAATTTCGTATTAATTTTACACTCATTCAATATTCTCTCTATATAGGAAACTTCTCTAATTAATCTCAAAGAAATTACTGTGTGAAATGTCAAGCCCTGATTAACATTGTAAATTATTCTTTAAAGATCTGCCAGTAGTTGCGAAAGCTAGCATTGGTAAGTTACCAGGGCACATATTTATAGGTATCTATAAAGTGGGACAACTTTTATAACCATGCTGGGTTATACAATTTTTGAATTTTTAAACAATTATATTTTTACTAATTTACTATGCAAAAAAATTTTTTATTGATCATTTCTGATCTTTTTAGACAAATGTTGATGCTTTGCTGTCTGAAATAGCAGTCATTACTGATTATAGACTGTATCAATATTAATATAATGTATAGGAATTGTAGAAAACTGAGTTTTTATATTTACTGGTTTTCACATGTTATAATTATAATGTCTGAAGATATTGCCTAGATGATTTTCTGACTAGGAAATTCATGATATTTGCTTCATCAGTTTATTATTTGAAAATAACTTTATCTAGGTAAAAGATCTTATACATGTAGATAATTATGTATTTAATTATTCAGAACAAAATTGTAAGGGTCATTGCTTGCTTCTTTCTTTATAAACAGCTTAGAATCACGCAAAATTTTTCAGTAAGGTTAAAATACACAAGGTAGCAGGGCTGTCATTTCATTATAAGTCATTCTTTGAGATTGAACTTCAGGCTTGTAGTTGAGTTATCTATAAACATAGATGATAAATATCATATTTTTAAGTTTCTTTATGCCTTATATTATAAAACTACAGCATTAGTTGAAGCCTGAAATTCATGGTGATTCTATCAAGATGCCCATCTGAAATACAATACATTGATTGACATTTAATTGCACTAAGGTTGTCCTCCATTTCAAGAATTTCAGTAAACACTCTATGTTACATTTTTACTGTGTTAATATAACAAAACAATGAACCAGCAAAATAATTTTTAATAAATAAGATAAAACAAACATTGCTAAATATAGAATACATTTACATATAGCAACACCATGCATTGCAGCTGTAAAAATTTCTCTTTATATTGTTTAACAAATTTTATGATGAAACTACAATACGGTCTCAGTCTGAAAGAATAACCAATGTTACACACTGGCCACAACAACCGTGTATCATCTTGGCCATATTTATGTTATCCTTCTAATTTAGTTATATATTTTGCTGAAAAAAAAAAAACTTTCGTAAAGCACACTTGATGCCCATCGTTTCAACTTATTTTAGAAATTCTTTCATACACACTATTTCAGATTATGAAGTTTGTAGGGTCATATTAGACATTAAAATGCAAATATAAGGTGAAAGTTCAGGTGAACAACTGGTTGTACTGTTAGTTTAGTTTATTGTTGTAGATTATGTTTATATTATGTTTTATTATGTTATATTCCTTAAATTTACAGTGTAGTGCACCTGCTGGACAAATGCACGGTACAAACTTATTGAAAATATGTCTTACAGAATTTTATCATGGAGAAAACTGTATTGGCTATTACCCCAACTGATACCTCCTTTTTATTAGCTCATCTGTCACAAAGTGACAGGGTGAGCTTTTGTGATCGCTTTTCGTCCGGTGTCCGTCCATCCGTCCGTCCGGCGTCCGTCCGTAAACTTTTACTTTAAATGACATCTCCTCATAAACCACTAAGCCAATTTCATCCAAACTTCACAGGAATGTTCCTTTGATGGTCACCTTTAAAAATTGTTCAAAGAATTTAATTCCATGCAGAACTCTGGTTGCCATGGCAACCGAAAGAAAAAACTTTAAATATCTTCTTTTAAAAAACCATAAGAGCTAGAGCTTAGATATTTGGCATGAAACATCTTCTAGTGAGTGTCTACCAAGTTTGTTCAAATAAAAGCCCTGGGGTCAAAATTGGCCCCGCCCCGGGGGGTCATTGATTTTCCCTATATGCAAATAGTAAAAACTTAAAAAATCTTCTTTTAAAGAACCCAAAGAGCTAGAGCTAAGATATTTAGCATGAAATATGTTCTAATGGGTGTCTACCAAGTTTGTTCAAATAAAATCCCTGGGGTCAAAATTGGCCCTGCCCCAGGGGGTCATTGATTTTCCCTATATGCATATAGTAAAAACTTAAAAAATCTTCTTTTAAAGAACCAAAAGAGTAAGAGCTAAGATATTTAGCATGAAACATGTTCTAATAAGTGTCTACCAAGTTTGTTCAAATAAAAGCCCTGGGGTCAAAATTGGCCCGCCCCGGGGGGTCATTGATTTTCCCTATATACATATAGTAAAAACTTAAAAAATCTTCTTTTAAAGAACTCAAAGAGCTATGGCTAAGATATTTAGCATCAAACATGTTCTAATAGGTGTCTAACAAGTTTGTTCAAATAAAAGCCCTGGGGTCAAAATTGGCACCGCCCCAGGGGTCATTGATTTTCCTTATATGTGTATAGCAAAAACTTAAAAAATCTTCTTTGAAAAAACCCAAATAGCTAGAGTTACGATATTAAGCATGAAACATCTTTTAGTGAGTGTCTACAAAGTTTGTTCAAATAAAAGACCTGGGGTCAAAATTGGCCCCGCCCCGGGGGGTCATTGATTTTCTTTATATGTGTATAGCAAAAACTTAAAATCTTCTTTGAAAAAACCCAAATAGCTAGAGTTAAGATATTAAGCATGAAACTTCTTCTAGTAAGTGTCTACAAAGTTTGTTCAAATAAAAGCCCTGGCCGGGCCCCAGGGGTGTCATTGTTTTTAACTATATGTGTATAGTAAAAACTTTAAAAAAATCTTCTTTTAAAAAGCCCAATGAGCTAGAGCTTAGATGTTAAGCATGAAACATCTTCTTATGGGTGTCTACCAAGTTTGTGCAAATAAAAGCCCTTGGGTTAATTGGCCCTGCAACATTGGGGGGTGGGGGTTGGGAGAGCCTATATACAGGTGAGCGACCTCAGGGCCATCATGGCCCTCTTGTCTATTAACCATATTTATGGTGGGCGTGTCTGTGGACAGTTGGTTAAGGTTGTTGACCTAAAACCACTTGCCAGTCACCACTGTGGGTTCGTATCCTACAAGGGAACTTGGATTCTTTCTTATGAGGAAGCTATCTAGCTAGCTTACTGAACAACTATGGTTCTACTCAGGTGCCTGTTTGTGCCTGAAATAATGCACATAGGGACGCCTTAGGTCTTCCTCCACCCTACTCTAACCTTTTATTTGAATAACAATAGATTTAACCACAAACATTGACATGACTGTGCTCTTTTGCTAACAAATATGTTGTGGTTAAATTCTTATTAAATGGACCTATCTGATAATTTGAATTAGACCGGTCAGGGATCTATGGATAAAGCTGGAAAGGTGCAATATATGACCTATAACATGTAGGTGCGACATAAAACCCAACCAAAAAGAAAAAAAATACATTTTTGGTTATCTCTATAACAGTCACTTTGTTTTAACATATTGGCAGTTTACAATAATATGACTGATGATCTCTGTATACCAGGGGCTTATGGAGGTGAAGCAAGCATGCATAATTGGCTTTTATATTTTGAATACTTTCACGACATACAGCATGTGTATTTCTTATTAACTCTCTTCATGCTTTGTCAATTTCAGCTTAATTACAATATATATAGTTTCAACTAATTAACACTATAGTTCTAAACTTGAGGCAGTATATAATTTTGTCTTAATTAATCTACAATTCCTGCTTAATTGCACCATTTGTGAATTTAGAGTTCACATAAATAATTTTTCATGAACCAGTCAAGTTACCACTTGTTTTGATTTTAATTTTGAGGCACTTTGTATCAAATTTCAAAATTTAATTACAACAACAGTGATTTAAATGTATTTGTGTTAGAAATCATGTATAACCAACAATTATTTACATAATGTGTTATATAATGTATTACACATGACTGTACAGTATATATAATATTGTATATTTACATAATGTATTACACATGACTGTACAGTATATAATATTGTATATTTATATAATGTATTACACATGACTGTACAGTATATGATATTGTATATTTATATAATGTATTACACATGACTGTACAGTATATATAATATTGTATATTTATATAATGTATTACACATGACTGTACAGTATATATAATATTGTATATTTATTTAATGTATTACACATGACTGTACAGTATATAATATTGTATATTTATATAATGTATTACACATGACTGTACAGTATATATATATTGTATATTTATATAATGTATTACACATGACTGTACAGTATATAATATTGTATATTTACATAATGTATTACACATGACTGTACAGTATATAATATTGTATATTTATATAATGTATTACACATGACTGTACAGTATATAATATTGTATATTTATATAATGTATTACACATGACTGTACAGTATATAATATTGTATATTTATATAATGTATTACACATGACTTACACATGACTGTACAGTATATAATATTGTATATTTACATAATGTATTACACATGACTGTACAGTATATAATATTGTATATTTACATAATGTATTACACATGACTGTACAGTATATAATATTGTATATTTACATAATGTATTACACATGACTGTACAGTATATAATATTGAATATTTATTTAATGTATTACACATGACTGTACAGTATTGTAATATTGTATATTTATATAATGTATTACACATGACTGTACAGTATATAATATTGTATATTTACATAATGTATTACACATGACTGTACAGTATGTAATATTGTATATTTATATAATGTATTACACATGATTGTACAGTATATAATATTGTATATTTACATAATGTATTACACATGACTGTACAGTATATAATATTGTATATTTATATAATGTATTACACATGACTGTACAGTATATATAATATTGTATATTTATATAATGTATTACACATGACTGTACAGTATATAATATTGTATATTTACATAATGTATTACACATGACTGTACAGTATATAATATTGTATATTTACATAATGTATTACACATGACTGTACAGTATATAATATTGTATATTTACATAATGTATTACACATGACTGTATAGTATATGATATTGTATATTTACATAATGTATTACTCATGACTGTACAGTATATGATATTGTATATTTACATAATGTATTACACATGACTGTACAGTATATGATATTGTATATTTATATAATGTATTACACATGACTGTACAGCATATATAATATTGTATATTTATATAATGTATTACACATGACTGTACAGTATATAATATTGTATATTTATATAATGTATTACACATGACTGTACAGTATATAATATTGTATATTTATATAATGTATTACACATGACTTACACATGACTGTACAGTATATAATATTGTATATTTACATAATGTATTACACATGACTGTACAGTATATAATATTGTATATTTACATAATGTATTACACATGACTGTACAGTATATAATATTGTATATTTATTTAATGTATTACACATGACTGTACAGTATTGTAATATTGTATATTTATATAATGTATTACACATGACTGTACAGTATATAATATTGTATATTTACATAATGTATTACACATGACTGTACAGTATATAATATTGTATATTTACATAATATATTACACATGACTGTACAGTATATATAATATTGTATATTTATTTAATGTATTACACATGACTGTACAGTATATATAATATTGTATATTTATTTAATGTATTACACATGACTGTACAGTATATAATATTGTATATTTATATAATGTATTACACATGACTGTACAGTATATATAATATTGTATATTTACATAATGTATTACACATGACTGTACAGTATATAATATTGTATATTTACATAATGTATTACACATGACTGTACAGTATATATAATATTGTATATTTATATAATGTATTACACATGACTGTACAGTATATAATATTGTATATTTACATAATGTATTACACATGACTGTACAGTATATAATATTGTTTATTTATTTAATGTATTACACATGACTGTACAGTATATATAATATTGTATATTTACATAATGTATTACACATGACTGTACAGTATATATAATATTGTATATTTATATAATGTATTACACATGACTGTACAGTATATAATATTGTATATTTACATAATGTATTACACATGACTGTACAGTATATAATATTGTATATTTATATAATGTATTACACATGACTGTACAGTATATAAATGTATTACACATGACTGTACAGTATATAATATTGTATATTTACATAATGTATTACACATGACTGTACAGTATATATAATATTGTATATTTATATAATGTATTACACATGACTGTACAGTATATAATATTGTATATTTATATAATGTATTACACATGACTGTACAGTATATAATATTGTTTATTGACATAATGTATTACACATGACTGTGTAGTATATGATATTGTATATTTACATAATGTATTACACATGACTGTACAGTATATGATATTGTATATTTACATAATGTATTACACATGACTGTACAGTATATGAATATTGTATATTTATATAATGTATTACACATGACTGTACAGTATATATAATATTGTATATTTATATAATGTATTACACATGACTGTACAGTATATAATATTGTATATTTATTTAATGTATTTCACATGACTGTACAGTATATAATATTGTATATTTACAGGGTTTGGTGGCAGTTGTTTCCAGAAAGATGTGTTGAATCTAGTGTACCTATGTGAGTGTCTTAATCTTCCAGAGGTAGCTGTTTACTGGCAACAGGTATGTTTGCAAGTTTTCACCCGTTTTTCTGAAGTTTGGGTTTTTTATACTTCTGAAAGCACATTTTAACTATATGAAAACAATTATTTTTAACTTTCACACATGTTCGGATCTTGTCAGGGACTTTTGATTCTTTCAAGTCAGAAAGCTATTGGCTAGCTTTATGTGGTTCTACTCTAGTGCCTCCATTTGCCTGAAATAATTCTCTATAGGGGAATCTAAGGTTTTCCTTCACCAGTAAAGCTGGAAAGTCACCATTTGACCTTTACAATGTCTGTGTGACTTAATTCCAACAAACACAGTGACATGTGTTTTAAAGTCATTGATGTGTACAACTCTGCAACAGAGGGTTCTTTTCTTAACAGATCGTATGATATCTTACTGTATTAAAGAACTGGTTACTTTTTAAGGTAGATTTTACATGAAAGTTGCAGTTGCTCTTAAAATCTATTACACATTATATATACAAAATGTATATCATGTTGCATGCCAAATGCTCTCAGAAATATGTGCCAGTCTGTAACTATGAATAAATTACCCTTTGTTTCTGATTTTATACTCTATTAACAATATTACAGGTGATCAACATAAACGAATATCAGAGAAGGAGATTCGCCAATAGAATAATAGAATGTTTGTTTAACACTGTGACCAACAAGAAGATAGCAATATTTGGCTTTGCTTTTAAGAAGGATACAGGTGATACCAGGTACATGTCTACAAACGTTACCATGCCAACGCTTACTTTATTGTTTACATTAATATTTAGGGTGTTTCTGTGTAAGCAGCTTGTTTATTTTCTAATATTAGTGGGAGGGGTAATGAAGTTACTAATATTAGTGAGAGGGTTAATGAATATTTTGTCCATTTTGTTATTGCATAACAGAAAGATATCATTTAGTAATAATACTATGACAGTTGGTGCGTTTAAGTGGTTAAGTCAGAGATTATTTGGTTTATACAAATTTATTTTAGTTCGATTGTGTTGGAAGCTATAAGCTTATTGAAACACTCTCGAATCTGTTCCTGGGACCAACCAGTACTAAGCAATGAATGTAAAGTTTCTTGCTCAAGGAAACAACGGCTTGCCCCTGACAGGGTTTGAACCCACGCGGTCAGCAATCCTTAGATTACTAGTCCGACGCGTTAACCACTCGGCCACGCCGCCAAATCAAATCAGAGATTATTTGACTGGGAGGTTGTTACTTAAAGATCCTGTATGGAGAAATTAAGGTTGTTACCACCCTTAAGTGAAGTTTTAAATATGTATATAATTATGCTTCTAAAACAATTTTCAAACATCAGAGAATATGTAAAGTTTGTACTGCAAATATTTGATAAGATTAATTATATACTCCATGGTAATTCTCGTAAACTACAAGGACAAAATGGAAGTAGGATTAAATATTTATAATGTATCACTAATTGTCAGGTCAATAAAATCTGACTATATAAAGAATTTAAAAGAAGTTTCATTCAATCAATAGCTGTACATGCAATTAACCATAGCCTGTATCTTTGATGTGTTTTGAATTGTTATGCCTGTAGGGTTATCTCAGTTATATAAACTTGGTAATTATAGAATTAGCTGAACCATGATGTTTTTATCACTTTTACCTATAGCTTTTCAATTTTGAATAGCTATTTCAACAGTAAATAGTGTGTAAACTACTTGTCATAAAATATTCTATAAATATAACCTTTTCCATTACAGTATTTCTAGTACACATAATTTAAATAGTTATTGTATACATGTATTAAGTTCATGTTATATAATAAAATAAAACATTGAATTGTTATAATATACTGTCATATCTAAATAAAAATTGCTTTTCCTTTGTCTGAGTTGAGCCCTGGGTAAGATAGCAGGCATCTGTATGAGACAGGTTTGACTGATATATATATAAATATATATGAGCCGCATCACGACAAAACCAACATAGTGCGTTTGCGACCAGCATGGATCCAGACCAGCCTGCGCATCCGCACAGTCTGATCAGGATCCATGCTGTTCGCTATCAGTTTCTCTACTTGTAATAGGGTTTGTAAGCGAACAGCATGGATCCTGATCAGACTGCGCGGATGCGCAGGCTGGTCTGGATCCATGCTGGTCGCAAACGCATTAATTTGGTTTTGTCGTGACATGGCTCATATATTATATTGTATATATAAATATAGTATATTTACATGATTTAATGTTATAAACAACTTATTTCAGAGAGTCAGCTGCCATATATGTAGTGAAATATTTACTAGAGGAAGGTGCCCAGATCAGAATTTATGACCCAAAGGTAGAAACTGACCAAGTATTCAGGTAAGAAAAGATCCATACAGGGGAGGTTACTCTCTTTAACAATAAGAAAAGTATGAAAAAGTTGTGTACCTTGCTGTCTTTCTTCTAGGTTGAACAACATTAAATGCTGTGTGAGAACTTTTTCTGTTTTTTGCAGGGCAAGAATTATACTTCTCTAACCAAAACTGAATGAGGCTTTTACCAATCTGACTAAAATTCAGATCTTCATAAGTTATTTTATGCATGTAGATCTGATTGCCACCTTCATTGTGATTTGGTTGTCCCAAAAGAGCTATTTCTAGCCATGCAATCAAACCTTCCTTTACAGATACTATAGGCATTAGATGAAGTATCAAAATATCACTGTTATGGAAGTAGAACAAAGTTGTTGATTTCTGTCAGGGAAAAAAATGTTTGAAGTAATATGAAACAAATAAACTTGAAATAATAGACTCAGATTTTAATAGGCAAAATTGTTTGCCGGTTTACCTGCCAGCTATATGGGCAACGCCATGTTTGTTCTTGAAATTATGAAAATTACCTTCTCATTATTGGATTTTACAGCAGTTAAAATTAGAAACTGCATCACTTTCAAAATTGTGAAAGCTTGATGATGGTTGCTTGGCTTTTTTTTTAAAGTTCACAAGAAGGTGACCTATTGGTGTTTGTCAGATCCTAATGCGAAACATTAATTATAAGCTGAATTTACTCAGATTAAAGCTGTTACATTATTTTTGTGAAATTTTGGAGTAAATCTGACCATTACCTATAAGGGGATGCACAAGCTAGTTAGAAATAGTTATATTTTTATAATGAGTTCTTTTCATTAACCACTGAATCATTAACAAGTTTGCAGTGTAGCATCCTTTTTGTCTTATTGAGATATAGATTACCATTTACTTTGGACTAATATATCAATAAACATTGTATGTAGTAAGTACTATGTACAAATTTTACATAATGATGCATTTTTATCAAATACTGAAGTCACTTTACTTTTGATAATAGGATTTTTATTTGGCTTGTTTGTAGAGTATTGATTTTTTTAAAAGTTAGACATTGACTTTCATAACATAACAAATTTCAAACTGAATATATAAGTATAGTAGTTTTAAAGTAAATTTATTATGATGTTTTAATTGATATTTATTATTCCAGGGAGTTAACTCATCCAAGCATAAGTGACAATCCAGAGAAAGGTAATTCTCTTTTATCTTTTTGCTACTTTGTTTGAAAGATATACTATGCTCATCTTTGGGCAAGATATTGTTATTGCAGAATCTAGAAAATTCTAACTGATTATGTCTAATTTGAAAAAGAGAATACACAAAATATGTTTGTGAGGTAGCAATTCTGGTAACAAAACTTCCAATTCTTTAATGACACTATGAATTCATATAGTATTTACCTTTAATGTGCAGAGCTTAAAATATGACACATCTTAAATGTTTACTTAAATTGCTACACCTCCAAATGAAAAGTGTCCCAGAAATAAGTCTAAAAATTATGCCTAATTTGAGTAGTTTGTGAAGACTTTATGTATTTATTACAGTGAGAGATCTTGTGACAGTTTGTGACGACCCATACAAGGCTGCTGAAGATACATATGCCGTTGTTATATGTACAGAGTGGGACGAATTTATTGTAAGTGATCAATGACCCATTTTTGATGTTAGTTTATTATGATGCTAATTATTATGAGTAAAGTTTATTATTAGGATAGTTAAATTTAATTATGAGACTAGTTAATCATGAGTGTACTTAATTATGATGCTAGGTTATTATGAGACAATTTAATTATGGTGCTAGTTTATTATGATGCCACGAAAATATGATGCTAAATTTTTATGAGGCAAGATAAATATGATGCTAGTTAATCATGAGCCTAGTTAATTATAATTATTAAAGCATAAGTTTTGCTGTTTTTTTTTGTTTTTTTTGAATTGTAATTCACACTGATACTGCTATATGTAGTACTTTGGTGAAATTTGATGCACGGAAACATCAGGTTCCCCTTTAATCATTATTATAGAAACTAAGGTAGAACCATTGTAAATCTGTAACAAAGCTAGACAGTTACAGCAAAAGTTTGTCAGCTATTATTGTGTTTCAATTTATTAATAAATTTTTACTTTCAAACATTAAATATATAACATTTAAATAAACTTATTAGAGCGTTTTAGATGCTTGTTAGCCAAAAAAGTAGCACTAAATGTGAAAAAAATAGTCACAAAAGTAACAAAATATAAACAAAGTAGCATTTTGACCTACATACAAAATACTACACGTACTAACTCACTATTATTGTACTAACTGCCAAGTAAGTGCTTGTATTTACTGAAATCAGGTTATTATAAGTGATACCGAATGTTTACGTAAAATTTAATATTGTATTATTTGTACATTGCAGCGCTATGACTACAAGAGACTATATGACAACATGTTAAAACCTGCCTATGTATTTGATGGTCGACTTATACTGGATCATCAATCGTTAATGGATATTGGCTTCCATGTAGAAACTATAGGCAAACGTTTAACTAGGACCAATGTTCACCGACCATTTGTAGCTTCCAACTGATACACACATATACCGTCATAGCACCATGGGGATCAATTTATTATTGTTTAAACTTTTCTTGTTTTGATGAACTTTATTTAAAGTCTTATATTTATTTTGGCCTTAGGAATTTTTATTACAGTAATTGAGGTTAAACCTGTTGTTATTTGATATTTACTTGAAGCAGTTATGTATTGTATTTGTTTACTGTGAAGGGGTGGTAACTCTGCCATGCATTTTCTACCTTGCTTTTATCATACTATCCAGGACTAAGATAAGTGGAGCATGCTGCTTCTCAAACAGTTGTTGTTTATGTTTGTATAAAATTACATTTGTTCAAATGTGAAAAGGCTGTTTGCTACATTATCTGTTATAAGGCTTCCATTAGGTTCCAAAATTTGGAAGTCAGAAACTGCAAATTGTCTCACATTGGAAGTCAGATAATATAGGTAAAGAAGGAAAAGGGTTACATATTGGAAGTCACAGACAAAATAAGAAGTAAATGACTCCCAAACTTCCACTAATGGAAGCCCTGCTGTTATATTGTGTTTATATTGTCATACAGATACAGTAACCTGGTAATGACCAATGTTTATTACATGCTTTTCGGTGGTTTATAGAAATTTATCAGTGAAATAAAAACTGATAATTTCACTGTTTTGAATATTTGAGCCCGTTACGTTGTTTCAGTGAAATACAAGCGTTCACAGTACTGGAAACCAACTTAATGATGTGACGTCGTAAATGACGTCGTGTTGTATTATTATTTGGCGCCCTTTTCATTTAGTACTAGTTTAAAATGTCTTTTTAAACGTTTCTTTGCATATAATAGAAAGAAAATTTGTTTAGTTTAATGTAAGATCGAAATATATTTCACATCGTGAACACCAAAAGTTCATATTTCACTCGTGACTGCGCCACTCGTGAAATATACCTTTTGGTGCTCACTCGGTGAAATATATTCCGATCTTACATAGAACTAAACAAATATCCTCTATATTGTTATCATGTCACTTAGAATACTGAAAAACTTCACACTTCAACAACCTAAGTTTTATTATCATCATAAACTGCATAATTCACAATTTTGTTAATAACTGTTGATTTTATTACTCAAGTTTCTTGTTTTGAATAAGATGGAAAGTTCCAAAATCAATACAGCGCATTATCTTCCTGACATAACAGTGTTTAGCTTTATGTATATTTAGAACCAGTATTTTTCATTTGAAATCCAATTTTGTAATTTTTTGATTTTTTGATGATAATCAAAAATAATATTATTGCATTTGTTTATTGTTAGAACTGTATTAAGTTTGAATTTTTGTGTTGTTATGTCCCATGAAAAATTTGTATTACTTCAGGTGTTCTATCATTGATTTAAATAGGCTTGCTTATTACAAAAATGTTTATTAATGAATAAAAAAAAGGACAAATAATAAAAAAGGAAATGAGTTGTCAGTTAAACAGATGCCAGCTGGATGTGCATCTGTACTAACAAATAGAAAATATTGAAATATCACACACCCAGTAAATTTTTGGTACATTGACTCTGATTTTTTAATCCAGGAAAGAAAATGATGGTACATATAATTTTCCTAATTAGTGAACATTTAATACTGACAAAATGTGATATATCTACTATACTTAATTGGTTTGTTTTTTACCTGAAGTATCTCATATATATACCATACCAATCAGGATAATTTTCTTACTTCAGACATTGTTTGTAAGGTTATGTGTATTTTATCTATAAACTACAGTTTATTTTATCAAGTTTTGTTAAAGAGGGTCAAGTGTTTTAATGCTGGGAATATTTTTATACATACTTTAGTCATATACAGCTTAGTGTTTATTATATAATTATTTTACAAGTCAATCACTTTAATTCTTTTATATGTATTTGTAATTGTATTTTATTGTACATATTTGGGAGATTTTTGCTGTTTTTGATTTTACACACCTTTTTGTTTTTATGTAATATTATGGGAATATGAAAGATAAGGCCATTTTTCATCCTCATTTCATTTGCATTCATGGACAAAAATCAACTTGTTCATAAAAGTAAATCAAAATAACTATCATCTGAAGTAAAGGTTCTCCTTTCTCATTGTAAATAATGAATATATAGCACTGTTCAACAGTACTTTTATAGCAGTAATGATTTGCACCGGAGGTCTTCCAGTAAAACTGAAAGTCGCCATATGACCTATTTTTTCTGTGTTGGTGTGACGTAACTCCCCCACACTTCAAAAAAAAAGAAGAAAAAAATAGCAATAATGATAGGTTAGATATAGATTATAAGAATCTTACACCGGCTGCCGGTACAGACCGGAATATGTAGCTCGAGGGTAACTGTTTACAGCAGTTAAGGAGGCTCTGCCGAGGCATGTATCAATGACGTCATTTAAAGCACGCGACTTGTCTTACATGGGGGGTGTAAGACAGAGTTTTCCAGCACCGGTGTGAACGGTAGATAATCCTGTCTGAGATGCAAGAAAAGGATACAGTTAATGACTTGTTTAGTGGTATTTAGTAGAATACAGGGAGGGAATTATCAGTGAGATATTTTCGTATTGTTTATTGTTTATCATATGTTGTGAAGATCTTTTCCAATGAATAAATCTTGGTTGTACACCAGTAATAAACTTTGAAGTGTGTTTAGATATACTAGAATTACTGTCAAGTGCATTGAAACTGAAGGTCATTGGTCCAAACCCCAGTAAGGTCATTTCTTTAATTTCTATATTATTACAGTTAACATTAATTATTAAAATGTATCTCTCAAAATATTTTTAGAAAGAAATAAGCGTTTTTGTTTTTTTTGGGTTTTTTTTTTTCAGTGAATTTCAATCAAATGCATCATTACATGAAGTACATTTTATGATTTTTGTCCAAGCAGTCTTACAGAATGATTTTGAGATGTATGTGATAATTATATATATATATGACAGTGTTTTAGAAATAGCTTTAATAAATCATATTACAATTTTATACAAATATTTTACCATCTATTATATCTGATGTACTTTATGTATAGTATTTTTAATTGCTTTGATTAAAATATAAAAGTCCCGTTTTAACTTCAAGTGAACACGTTCTTTATTATGTCACTTACATTTTGATGTATCACATTTTAATTACAAATTACATTTTGTATAGGTTAATAAATGAATATTTTAGGGTTTTTTTATTCAGTTTGAAACAAGGTAAAGGTGCAAAAATAAAGATATAAAAAGTTGTATTTTAAGATTGAAATTTTATACATTACATGTTAAGAGTCATAGAGTAATATATAACAAAAAAGATTTTTGAATTTTTCTGGCAGAGGTATTGTGTAATACCTTTTATGTACTGATATTTATACTGAAACAGTTTATGATAATATAAATACTGTTTTTGATCTATTTGAAATAAGTCATTAAACCTAGTTATTAGAATGATTATTATCTATAAATTATATTCTTTACAAAAAATGTGATCTACGCAATGATTTTGTCACTATTATGTTACTACTACGTAATAATTATGACATGTGTGTAATATTTTATATTTCTGATTTTTTTTATATTATTAAACTTGCAAGATTCTTGCATTAAAATTTGTTTTGTTGTTGATCTTTATCAGGTTAACTTAGTACTGAAGAAAGTGTTCATTCAAAATTGACAAAATCTCTACTTAAAACACTTTTATTTTTATTTGTCATTTCAAACTTACTGTTTACAGAATATCACTCATTTTGTTTCAATCATTAAAACTAGTATTTGTATTCACCTTATTTTGCAAGACATTCTTAAAACTTTTTATTTTATTGTCAAATTGTCAATCATTTTATCTTAATTGTTCCTGGGCATTCATAATGGTGACACGGCCAATTTATTCTATGTGTCATTATAATGCATAATGATGTCATGGTAAATGATTACACACATGTAATGATGACACATATGCTATGACGTCATGTGTAATGATGACTTGTATGTTATATGCCACTTAATTAATTTAACATAGGTAATAATGACTCATGTATAATGATGTCATACATAAATGATGATGTGTGTAATGGTGGCAGGTGTTTTGATGACATTAATCATGTTATGATGAAATTATACTGGTATTGCACCATCATCTCCTATTTAATAGGTATATGTATATTGGTGAAATAAAATAAGCACTTTCATGTACATTATAATAGATAAATGCCAACATTAAACAGGAACATTAAATCTTGGTTGTGTTGTGTTTAATTCAATGACAAATTATGTTGTATAAATGATTAAGTTTTGTGATAAAGCATGACTGTACACAATAATCATCCAGAGGATTTCAGATCCCATTTGCTGTTAAACTAATGTAATGAAATCTAACTTGTTTTTATGAGGAGAGATGTGGCATCCAAGGTGGCTGTTTGGATCACGTGTTTAAGTTGTTAAAGTTCTACATACATATTAATATGATTATGAGATTTCGGTTAAGAGCATCAAGCACATAATCAGTCATGTGGTTCCATGATAATGAGCAATGTTGTTTCTATTTATATATGTATAATAATCAAGTGATTTAATGTCATATATATTATGTCTGCACAATAAGTTTTGTGGTAAACACTGCAAGGTAAACACTGCAAGGTAAACACTGCAAATTTCGGGGTATTTTCTACACACTGTATAAACACTTATTTCTTAGCTTCTTTTATCTACAGATCATGTAATTTAAAGACTTATTTACATTTTGTGCCATGTAAAACATACCAAAATAAAAGTGACATGCCCATCCAATGTATATAGTGAGTGACCAGGTGAAAGTCTATATAACTATATAAGTATACATTTTGCCATAATTCCTTTCATTTTATGATTTTACTTCCATGACTGATAAATAACTTGCATGCCCCAAAGAAATTTCTGTAAACATTCATCGGAATTTAGCTGTAACATTCAATTTTATAAAGAGTGGGGCAGTCTTGTTATATTTTAGGCAGATTTATATTATATCCTTAACATTTTCCAATATCAACTTATGGTCAGTCACCATTATTACAAATATATAGTCAATTAAGCTCAACTTTGCAATGAAAAACTGAGCATAATGCCACCTTAGGAAATAATATGTTCACCATCATTAATGTCTAGATTTAAACCTTGTTCATTTTTAGTTTATTCTGGTAAGACAATTGTATTGTTTGGGAATTAAGTTATGTACTTTATACAAGTAAATATTGTATTTGTTAAATGGTAGGAACTTACTGATGATGGTCATTGTAAGATATTTTGGAATTAAAGTATACAGAATGAATGTTTGTGTTTTCATTTTTATGTTAAAACCTTATAAAATATAATACTGTAGTTAGTTTATACAAATTTATTTTAGTTTGATTTTGTTTGAAGCTTTAAGCTTATTGAAAAACTTTCGAATCCGTTCCTGGAACCAACCAGTACTAAGGAATGAATGTAAAGTTGCTTGCTTAAGGAACCAACGGATTGCCCCTTACAGGCTTCGAACTCACGCGGTCAGCAATACTGACAAGATTACTTGTCTGATGCGTTAACCACTCGTTAATACTGTAGTAATGTGGCTATAGTATTCAGACTTTAGACCAAAGTAACTTGACTTAATCAATATTTGACACGTTTCCCTTCGGTTATATGTTTTAAATAGTGATCGAAACAGACAAAAAACTGTTTATTTCCAAATCCACAAATTAACATATGATTTGATAAATGAAGAATTGTTTGATATGCCCATTTTGAAACATGTTTTCTCTTTATCAAATTTTACGTTATGGTAATCACAGATTTTATTTATTTGTTCCAATGGTTTTCACACAATCTGTAAAGAAACATTTAATCTACAGTTATAAGATACATGCTAACCAGGGATTCAGGCGTTGATATTTTTTCCTATTTATGCGCTATTTCATTCTCGTTCAAGTAATGACGATTTGCCGGACAAATCGTCAGACTGGAACCCATGCTAGATACATGCCAGTTTAAATAAAAGACCAGCACGGAACATTATTCATTGCCATAATGATAGTTAATCAACTGATGCCGTGTGGTAGTTTTGTAATATACTAGCCAAAGCCGCTGATCACATTGCCTTTTTAAAATACCGTACACCTTAACCACATTGGTGTTCCGCTTCAAATCATTTGTACGACTTCAGGTGTTATCGTGCACACAAGTTGGGAAAGTTCAAACTAGGTGATTTTGTTTTATGGTAATTTCTAAAAGTTCTGTAATTAAAACCGTAGTCCGACTGAATACTGTTATGGTATGTGTATTTATTTTCTCAGTTTCGAGAGATTAATGTGCACAACTCTTTGAGTAATGTGACGGAAAACAGCGTACAACTTGATAAAATGTTTCGTTTTACATATAAAAGTTGTATGACATATAATTGTAACCATCAAATTTGATAAAATTCGATTTGTTATGACTACTAACTGCTTCGGAGAGCTAACTTTGTCCATTCTGTTTGTCTGATGTACTGCAGGTGTGCGGATTGTGTTTCAGTTGTGCGCTTGTTCGTATTTAAGAAAATAAGATGGTTGCATGTGTTTAGAACGGATTTAACTTTATAAAAATCATTATATAATACACTGTTTTGAATGAATCCCTGATAGCTGAAAATTTACAGAACGCATTGCAACTACTTTATAAATGTTGTTAGAATAAGACGCACACCTGAAGCACCATGCGCATACCTTTAGCACCGGACAATGATAATAATAAAATATTGTTGTATTTACTCAGTGACACGTACTGATACTTTACTAGAAATTGTCGCCAGTCCATACAACTATAATATAATCAAAATTAAGAGGTACTTTTGATATACATGTATAACATGAAACTTGTTTTATCAAGATGTACGTTGTATTTTTCGAAACGAGTCGTAGGATCTCTCCCTAAATATATGTGTATGCTAATGAGTTGAACAATTGTAAACACACACACAATAGTGGCAAGGTCGAACTACCGTTTTCATTTTTTTAATATTTGATAAAAGTGATTTATATTATCAGAAAAGATAGCCACCTACATTTATTTTTATAAGATTAAGCGCACAAACAAAGCACCGGAGATCGGAGCGAAGCACCGATGGTGTCAAAGGTATGCGTTGAGCAGGCGTGAATATCTTGTGAAAATGTTCTGGTTACGAGATGTAGCTTTATTTCTATATATATGCCTTACAGGAAACATCAGTATCATTATTTACTTTCTGTGGCCGTTTAACATCAAGCATAAAGCTTGTCATATTTAACGCGATCATTTTCTCAAACCGCTGGAGAAACAATTAAGTAGTGATCATACCAGTTTCAATACTGAACAAGTAATGTGTTAAATTCAACGCATTTTGATCTATTAAAATCATTTACTGTGAACATTAATTATCTTGACCTAAACCTTCAATATATCACGTTAACCTATGCTTTACTATAAATCTTATTGACCTAAATTTGTCAATGGATCATTCTGACCTAGATTTGTCAATGGGTAATACTGACCTATGCAAAAATATACAGCACAATTTAACTTTTTGATTTTTTTTATATCTTTATTATTTTTGAAAATGAACATATAATAATTACATTAACAAATGAACATATGTTTATGGCACAAATGGATAACATGAGAAATGTCCTGTAAATAAACGGTTGACAATTACAAAGACAGTTGAAATATATATCTTAACAAAATGAAATTCACAAAATTTAAATCTATAAAATGATACATTCGCTTTTATTTTGATGCTAGATTTTTTTTGTAAGAATTAGAAACTCCCAATATAATGACGCCCATGCGTCTTTTATATTAGATGATGATAAAGAACAAAATAATAGGTCTAATAGTTTGACATTTTAACCACCATAAAACATAAATCGATCATGGCAACGCTCGTGTTGTTTTTTTCCCTGACATGATTTGCATACAAGACAACGTAACTTATCGGTATATTACGTAAATAAAGTAGATTTATCTGTTTGAAATGTAGATCAATTTGGACAGACTAGACTCCGCCGCATTATTTTAAATATTAAAAAAAAATACAAGGAAAAGTTGAAAATATTAAAGCTGCGTGCCTCTAGATAAACCAAAATATTTCAAGAAAATCAATCTTCAGAAAAAATGTATTTACATTTAAAGAAAATTAAAAATGTTCACAATTCAAGAAATGAAAATCACAATTCAAGAAATGATTTACATGTTACATGCAATTAATAACTGAAATTGCTGTTTTATCACCAAATTTCTATTGCGTGACTAACGCAGTAAAAGCTATTTTGCACATTCTGACTTATTTTTGTTAATTTTCGTAGATTGTAAATTACTTTCTTTGTCCACTTGTCAATACTTAACTTTTTGATATTTAAAAAAAAAAAATTCATGAAAGTTGGCATATTGCTTTAAAAGAAAATCCCCCAGAACGAATACTTTATTTTACGTCTAATGGCTACTGTTAGCAGCGTTCATTATCGAGCAATTTTAGCAGTCGTCGTGAATGTATAATTACTGTTTGATGATTTATGAAGTATTACGTAACGAATAACAATTTTCATTTATCAGCTGACTCCAAAACGTAACGTATACTAAATATGACAGATTTATACTTGACATAATGGTTGATTAATTAACATAGACATATACGAACGTTTACTCGGCAAGGTAGAGAGTGGTCTATGAAATGAATATACCTTAAATTACTATATGTTATCTTTTTGTACAGTTTTCTTTTTAATGAACCACGTGTTAAAATCATGATGTACTTCTCTTGCAAGATTTATAGAATTTGTAGACAATAAAATGTTTTAAGTTGAAAAATTAGATAACTTTATAATAAATAAAATATGTAAGTAAATAATGTGGTAGGTTAAATGTAACCCATTGACCTCTCGTCACACCAGTTCTTGCTCGTATCTTAATATATATTTGTCTTATCTTTGAAACAGAAACAACCTTATATAAGATGGAATCTTAAAAAGTTATCGGAGTATTTCCCAGTCTGTTTTATCATATTGCCTTTCAACATTTTTTTCTGCACTTGCAAAATATAATTACTTAATAGATCTACATATTATTTTATACATATATTTGTATAAAAAGATCTCGTTTGGTCTTGTGTTGAAATCTTGCATTTTGTATGTGGCACGGATATCCCAATCTATGATAAAAAAAGTTAAATACTCTATGGTTTTCCTGAATATATCATCTACCGTTTGAAGTGGTGCCCAGGAGGCTTGCATTTATATATTCGAACCTGAAATTATAGATTAACGAAATATACAAATACATGTGCATGTAATTGGCACCTTGCCTAAACGTCACATTTTTTTAACACTTTTTTCTGTTGAATTCCAAAAAATGTAAGTCTTACTGCAACAAACTTTGTTTTTACAATGTTTCCCGTTGAGTTGTATACATCCCCATGTTACATGTTTAAGTTGTAACTTAATCATATTACCAATTTGAGTTATATAAACTTTCCCGTGCTACACGTTTTAGTGCCTGCATATTAACCATTTGAATTTTTTATATACTTTTCATTGTTACACGTTAAAGTTATATGCTTCCGTTTGACTTTTATTCTTACCAAAAATGTACCCGTTAAAAATGTTAACTGTCCCATGTTACCTGTACGAGTTAATTTCTTCATCCATGTTACTCGTGTGAGTTGTGTTTTTTCCCAATTTTACTTGTTTATTATTGCTATTAAATACACATTAAAAGATTTCATTTCAACTCGAACATTTACCTCGTCTAGAGTTCCAACGAAGCCACCAAAGGATTCATTGCCTATTTTACACACATTACCTCCAATATTAAGTGAGCCGTGACGTCGAGCAATTTCAGACGCTGAAAGTTTAATAAAAAAAAAAAAAATGATCATACCAAATATATTTTGAAGACATCATTACGTAAGCTCTTTAAATTGATAACTTTCTACATTTGTTATTTCAAACAATACTGCGTTTATATCTACACCAAAACATCAACAGCATCAACGCTATCAACAAATTTAGTTATATGCATATACTTTTATGCTTCAAATTCTTTAAAGTTTTTTTTTTCCAAAACGGTTCGCTTCTTTTTCTGTATTTAAAATGAACTCAGATCAACATCTACAGTCATTTTAAAGGATTCAAATTAAAGAGGCAATATCCCATGATATCATGACCAACATAAAAGGGCGGTTATACGTTTAATTATAATGATGATGTTCACAAAACTTCCGAGAAGAATTAAGGATATGTTTTGTTAATCATACTTTGCTGTAGAAAACCAGATCACAGTTTGTAAAGGATGAATGGTTTGAAAACAACCACCGCCTCCATACAGAGATCGTCAACTTAGATTTCTGTTCGTAACATTTATCAAAAAAAAGGAATTTTTGTCTTCCAACACATTTTGTAGATGACAGTTTAAGTGATGTTGTTAATTGAGGCTGTCTATATTTAGATTATGATTAATAATTATATTATGTAACAATGCATACCTCCTGGTATATCTAATGTTGCCACTAATCCATCCACTTCTGCTACAAACTGACCTTTTCCAAATTTAAACCAAGCATCTATCATTTTATCAGCCTGAAACATTAAGCAATTAAATGTGAGCTTGAATCTAATTTTGTATACACAACTTGTATGAATCTCATTTATTTTCTTGTTTTCGTTTGTCATGCAACGTGGAAATTAAATGTCAGCCAGTGTTTTTCAGATAGAAAACTAAAATATCTTGAGTTGTTGACTAAATCACAAATTCAATATTAGAAACAAGAGATTTCCTTTTAAGAATAAGTGATACAAAAAGAAACTGAAATTGGCATTAATTGAAATAATGACAATAATAGGATCATTTACCCCTGTCGTGATGTTTACAAAATCATATTCTAATGCTTTCTTCTTTGGGACCGCAGCAAACTTCATATTGATTTTATCTGGTCCAAATTGTTGTTTCTCGCGATCCATACCAATAAATACAGAAGGTCCGATATCTGACGGTCCACAACCAGAATTATGAACAAGTCCCTGACTGTGACCTGTCCCCGTGGGCTTAAACCGGATGTAAACGTATACATCTTTACCCCATTCAGAATTTGAAAATATGTTATCGTTTATAGCTGCATTTCCGTCAAAATATGCTGTACCGTCGCCATTATACGTGACATTCTCCACGTGAAGGCCAATATTCCTGTCTAAATCTTGCTGTAGTGTATCAAAGGTCAAATGAAGGTCAGGTACACATTCTGTAACGGTAAAAGTATTCATTGATTATGTTTTTAATTCACCGCTATCTCCTTCAGTTAATGTATATATGTAAGGTATGACTAATAAAGACGGTACATGTATTTTGATATTTATATTTATTACATTTGTATTATAATCATCCTGTTATTAAAATATGATCTAATTATTATATAACCGTCACAAAAGTAAACATTTCTCAAATAAGGCATATCAATATATCGCCGCTATGATACTGCACGGTTGTAACGACAATTCTGACGTTTTTATTTTAAATATCTAAAGTCATAGCAAATTTATTTGTTCTATGTTTCAATGGCAGATTACAGATATGCAGTATCATAAACGTGTTTTAAAAAATTCCGGCAAATTTTATAGCCGTTTATAAACGTTTGCCTTCGCGAGCTTACAGCCGATTTTACTGCGGCGAAAAAAAATGTCAAAAACATTAAATACTAACTACATAACCGTAGAGGAATATCAGAAACCGCTCATAGGGGGCAATGTTTGTATACCAGTATATGTACTTAGAGCAAAATATAACATTTGAAATAAAATTATGGCGCTATTATTATAAATAAACGGTGCGGAAAGTCTGATTCATATAATATAACAAGGTGAATGCACATTGCAACGGGCATTCAAGACAAAATGTCATCAGAACCTTCTAGACAAAATTAAAACATTCTGGACAAAATGTCACTACGACATTCTTGGTCAAATGCCACAGTAGCATTCTAGACAAAATGTCATTATGTCATTCTAAACAAAAGTCTTCACGAAAATCCAAACAAAAGTCATGACATTCCAGACAAGATATCTTCACGGCATTCGAGACAAAATTACAACACTCTGGACAAAATGTCAACACGGCATTCTAGACAAAAAGACACCGCGAAAAAATGGCATCACGACATCTAAACAAATGTCATAACGGCATTCTAGACAAAATGACATCACGGCGTTCTAGACAAAATGACATCACAGCATTCTAGACAAAAAGACACCACGACATTTTAGACAAAATTGCATCACGACATTCTAGACAAATGTTATCACGGCATTCTAGACAAAATGACATCACGGCGTTCTAGACAAAATGACATCACAGTATTCTAGACAAAAAGACACCACGGCATTCTAGACAAAATGACATCACGGCATTGTAGACAAAATGACATCACGGCGTTCTAGACAAAATGTCATCACGGCATTCTAGACAAAATGACATCACGGCATTGTAAATGACATTACGGCATTCTTACCAAAATATAAGCACATCATTCTAAACAAAACGTTAACTTGCACCAGAAGCCACAAAAACAAATTTTTTCTTCTGGTAAAGCGGATGTGAATACGTACAGGCAAATTAATCTTTTCCGTTAAGATATAAAACTTAAGATAAATAATTCTCATTTGAAAATGACTATGTTAAACTTCTTCCCGAGAAGTATAAAAAAGATACATGTAATTTGTATAAGTAATTTCTGCTTCTACTTTATATTAACATAAAAACGTCAGGTGTTTACTTTCTTAATTGTTTCAATTTTACACCTTTTTTGCCGCTGTTGTTGCTTACAGATGACATACATCTTAAGCCCTATATAGCTTGTTAATTTCTTATTCTATTCAAGTAATGTAAGGCAATCAAGCAAAGTCTTTCTGTGTATGGACATACCTTTCTTCTGTTTGGCCGCTAACTCTTAAATTAAATATCAATTATATACAATGTATAACAGTGTCGGATATCAGGCAATGCTATTTTACTCGTTTGCATGGCCAATAAGTTGATAAATTATTCGATATAACATACAGCAGCATATAACAGAATAAATATATATGTGTGTCCTGCACCAATGCTTCTACATATGAAATATTACAACAGAAAAGGAATTAACAAATCATTTTATTTTTGAATTATAAAATCATTTATTTTTATGATGCAAGTATTTTTTTTAAATATATATGTTGTACATTGCTTTAAAGCTATACTATGCCAATCTTTGGGTGTCTAGAATACTTTTATTGCATTTATTGAAATAAAGGAAATTATTGCTGAAAATAAGAGAATGCCCAAATAATGTTCCCTACTACTGATCCAGATCATTTAGTCCTTTCTTAAAAAAATAAACAAAACAAAACAAAAACCGTCATTCGTTCCCAATGATACTTTGTATTTATAATGTTAACATATATAGTGTGTAGAGTTTAAAACATATTAACTCTGTGTATACTCAAACGATGTTTATTTTACAGTTTAAAAAGATTGTAAAGTAGTTACAATGTATATGAAAGTTTTGCATAATATATTTCTAAATGCCCCTACCTTTGTTCGATTTCATGAAACCATCTGTGTAATAAATGCATTGACATTCTTTCGTGGAGAATATGGTACCATGACTGCAAGGACGATCTATCCAAAAGCCGTTAATTTCTTCTTGATACCATCCCGACCCCTTCGTCGACGATTTGAACATGCACACTGAAATAATCACAAAATGTTGCAACGCTTTTCAATTTTTGGACATTTTTCTACAATAAGAATAATTATTCTAGAAAAAAAAAACGGAACGAGTGAATCACTAAATGGAATATTAATCTCGAAAAAAAAATTGCCAGTCCCGTCATGGCACAAAACCTCAGTGGAGTCCATATAAAAGTATGGATTATATGGTTATACCATTTAATGGTTGAACAAAGAAGGACTTATATGAAACAAGTAGTAAGGGTATGCAACAGTTGAAAATCTGCAACGTGTTTTTGTTGTTGTTGTTTATTTGAAATGTCCATAAGAGAGTTTGAACTAATTATTGCAATTTTATTCTAAAAACTTACAACAAACATTGATAAATGTTAGAGGATAATATCTTGATAGACTGATTCCCTGCAATCTTTTTAAAATCAAAATGTAAAAAATAATAGGAAACTAATTGGCTTAAAGCAAGCATGCACAATGCACAATGCATAGAATTTCGGCTTGAATCATATCAAAAGCTAAAACTATAAAGCAGCCAAGAAAGCTGTCGCTCCTGTCTGCACAGCGGTGCCGAAGTCTTTCTGAAATTCAGATAAACCAATATGATATTTCAAACAAGCATCATCAGCATCATATAATCTGTACAACATCCTTCCTGTCGTCATATACTGAAATTGAAGTAAAGCTAAATTTGTCTTTGTCATTTTCAAAAATTATCAAAGCTATTCCTGCAAGCCTTCTGTTTGTCAGTTTAGCTCCAAAGTTTAACATCACTTGTTGTCAACAATGTGGGTGAACGTTTAGGCAGCAAGCAAACAGTGTTAAAATCATCTTACACAAGTGTCGTCAATCAAGCAATCTAAAAATACATACCTTGGCCAACAGTACCAATTCCGTTTACTTGAAAAATTATTTTTATGACAGTTTATTACCACAATTTACAGATACTAGCAGTTATATTTCTAAAACAAACAAAACCTGGTAAGTGCTCGGGGACATGGACGGTAGATTTGAATTATCACTACCGTCTATGAAGAGACTCAATAAAACCGAGCCTGCAACATTGCGTGTTGATCTGTTTTTTTATCTATTTTAGTAAAACAACGTTTTGTGAAAAGAAACAAATTACCAAAATAACATTAAAAACTTCTTTTGCATTTCAATTAAATGAAAGAGAATGAAAATAATCTACAGTCAATCATGTATCATAGAGAGGCAAGGGACAGTCCAACATTTCATTATATTTAAAGGCATGCAATTGATCACTTCTCATAATAACACAACATGCGTCATTAGCAGATATTTGTTTAATTAATTGTGCACCATCAAAACATAATGCTTAACTTTATACAATATTTAAATATCATGACCGAAATTTACTTGGAGAAATTGCTTCAACACGGTCGGTCACATCTGAAGAATAATTCAAAGTTATCATTTTCTTTAGTACCGCAGATGTTATTATATATAACATGAGCATTACTATTCATCATATTGTGTGATGTAAAGTATGAAGTCCTGGTTATTTTAATAGAACTTAAGTAACGCAATGGCGGTTAAAAAGCAAATTTTGTTGTTGGTTTTACTCTGTGTGTGTATGTTGCTGCTATAGCTGACTGATAAAGGTTACATGAATTTGGTAAAAAAAAATATTATTCACATACAATACAGCTTACAAAGCATGGTAATTTTGCAAGGTAATCGGACAAATATAGAATATTGAAATAAAACAGTAATCCTATATATCTTATATACATGTATACAGAACGTTTAGTATGACACCTTAATCACGAAAAAAAAATCAATCATCATTAAGCATATGGATAATAAAAAACAAACGTTTAGGTTTACAAATCAAAATTAAAATTTAACATGTAAAATTCTGTGTGTACCAATTTAAAGCAATTATCGATGAAACTAGAACATGAGAATGATGATCTAATAAACTTCGTGATGCTGAAACAAAACATAAGTAAAACATTGTAACATCAATAAAGCATTGTAATATCTTATGTTACCTTGTGGGGGCAGGTTTTCTACAGGAGGACATGCTTGGTTACAGATGCCTTTAGGATCTAGCTCACATTGATGTGTGAACGGGTTGAACCTCTCATTTTTAGCACAGCATTTCGCAATCGGGGTAGTACTCGTGCAGTCCCAGTAAGCGCGACAGGAAATATGGTATGATGCGAGCCGTCCTCTTCTCCCCTCACATACATCTGTTGCAATGAATACAATCATATGCTTATACAATGAAAGGATTAAATCAAAGGAATCGTGTCATATTATGGTGGTAAACAAGATAACAAAATTCGAAAGTATAACAATAACAAAATTTTCACCTTTAAATACTAATTCTGGTAAGGCCAGCGCTAGGACTTGTGTTGGCATGTGTCACTGCTGTCTTTGAACAGACTAAATCAAACCTAGCATGCAATATTTTCATTTTTTGACCTTTAAGAGTTTGATATTTTATACTATCTTAATGTAAGAAGTTCAATCAATTCATAAATGCTTTTGTAAAATGGTTTAAAATATGACCGTATACAATTCATACAGACAAAGGCCTTACCGCATTCAGATTGTTGCGGGAACACGCACTGTAGGATATTCAAGCTCCATAGAAGGCCATACGCACAGTCTTGTATGACGGGTATACCGTCGATACTGTCACACTGAACAAACATCGAACAATCTCCCGGATACATAGCATAGCCAATTCCATTATCCCATTTGCATTCAGTAGAGCAGTTTAGAGGGATTGCTTAATATGAGATTTTAGAGTATTAGACTGTTGGTTTTGTTATATTAGACTGTTGATTTTTTTATATTTGACAATATTTACAAACAGTAATGTGAAGCATGTTTTCTTTTAACAAAAATAAATAAAACAATCAGCATTAAAGTAAAGTCTCAAGTGAAACTATTTTTTATCATAAATGTATGCCACAGCTACAAACCACAGCTCATCTAAGTTACCGTACTAAGGTACTTTGAATCTGTTATGTACTTATTGTTAATTGAATTTATTAGAATCCCAATTGGTCTAAATCGGTAATGGATGGTTATTTGAAAAAAAATCTTAATAGTTCAATAAGCTAGAAAAATATTATTTTGTAACAGATTGTATGAAAATTATGTAATACATACTTGGGCAGTTGAGGACCTTACACTTGACAACGTCATTTGGTTGACCTGCGCAATTGTTCTTAGGGTCACCGACCGCGTTTACCTGGCATGTTCTTGTTCTCTCTTGAATTCCAGGGCCACATTCCTCTGAACATTTTGTCCATTTTGTCCAAACAGCCCATTCTATCTCATTTCAATCAAATTGTTGTTAAACAAACAAAACAATAGCAGGGTATATTATTAAATGTACACTAGTGGTTATTATATTAAGTCTATTTAAAGTACATGTAATAACAAATGTATTTTTGAAAACATCCGTTGTTTTTAACATATTTCATATCTGATTTATATCACAGTTTTTGGGTAAATATTATACATGGGTTTGAATATAATAATTGGACTAAAACTCGATAATTTGTAGTACTTGATTGGCCAACCTGGTTCAAAGCATGGTGGGAAATCAAAACACTCGACCATATCAACAGCGTCTCCACGACATGTTAAGCCGCCATTTGAAGGTGGCGGGTTTTCGCAGTATCTCTGGCGGATTTTAAAACCAAACGCATGAGCTGCCCCTACAATATTACACATTTAAAGTGTTTTTGTTTTCATTGAAATGATTACAAGTTGTCATATTTCTCTAAGTACCATACATAATTAACAGAAAGCAGGCACATACTGACAAAGTCCCCGCAATATACCAACAAAAGTATAAAGCAAGGATATGAAGATCATTCACCAATAAAGTTACAAGCTGTTATCTCTGTAAAATAAATTTTTAGTTAAAGCCTAATAAAATATGAGCATGAACAATGATAATGGACAATGATTAAATCTATTAAGCGAAAAGTTAAAGTTCTTTTGCTTTCTATCCTTCATCTATGAACGTTGGAATCTAAAATATTTATTGAGCTGTGCTCCTTGCAAATTTCACATGTATTAAATTCAAAGGGCAACAACTAAAATTAACGTTCCGACTTGTCACACTTGACATTCAATTTCACTGTTATATACGGTTATACATGTAATAATGTTTCAAAATAATATCACTAATATTGAGTTATGGTTCGGAAAAACATCATGCAAGAACAAAACTAAAGGTAATCATTTCAAAATAAATAAGCAAATAGTTATAATTATTTTGCTCTGCACTCCTCCTCAATCTTTTAACCTCTTCATTTTCAAGATGATATCTCACACACTTCTTTAGTTATGTTCCGAACATATACGTGATGGAAAGACAGGTGGCCCAAAGGAGATTATTACTATAGAAAGTAATAGATTCATAAAGCGCAATTTCTAACAATACAAATCAGTGAGAAAAAATGCACATCATTTTAATTATACCTTGTCAATTATATGAAAACTTGTGTGATATGCATATTTATTTAAAGATATCAAATGATTGACTTATATTGCATTTTAGTAGGAGGTTGATTTGATATGAATACTTTACCTCTTGAACAATCTGCCATACATTTTCCAAACAAACCCCATTCCGTCCACCCACCATTGACTGGGCAAGCGATTTTGGTGTTACACTGTATTCTTTCTTCATTATAACCATTACAACCCCTTCCATTACCTTGAGGAGATGGATTGTTACAATACCGCAGACGGAACTATATCAGGTAGAAAAAAAACTGTAATTTATAATGCATTTTCTATTGAATTCTATTGAAATGTTTGTAATATAAAGCATTTTATGACTAAATTTAGGTTATAACGGCTGATATGGAAATTTTGACAATTAACATTATTAATGTGGTACTAGTACCATCAGAAAGACTCCAAGAGATATTTCAAATATAAAACATCACGATGGATGTAAATGGTTTTACTTACCTTGTATCCAATTCCACAAGATGCCGAACACGCGGACCAACGTCCCCATATGGACCATCCTCCGTGCTGATTGCAGATTTTGCCAGAATCACAGTCTACAGTTTCGAATTCCCGACCAACACAATGTGTGCCACCGTATTGTGGTGCTGGGCTGTTACAATATCGAAGTCTACAAATAGGAAAATAATGCATGTTAATTGCAATTCATTTAAATGACTTATTATATGTATTGATTACAAGTTAAGATGAAGTCAGGTAATTACATTATGTAATATAAGCAAATGTATATCAAATTATCATTTGTACCTTTTTCTTTGACCAACTCCACACAAAGCATCACATTCTTCCCATTTACCCCATGCTCCCCAGTTGCCATTGACAGGACAAGCTGTGTCACTTCTACATTTACGACGTTCTTGAGGAATACCAAGACATATCATTCCACCGAACTGTGGTCGTGGATTGTTACATGTACGAACTCTACGTTGATATCCATGACCGCACTTAGCGTCACAAATATCCCACTGTGACCATGGGCTCCAATCGCCATCAATCGGACATGTTATTCCTGATTCACAATGTCGTTTTTCCTTTGGAATTCCTAAGCATATCTGTCCACCAAACATCGGTTTCGGGTCAGTACAAGTTCGTTCTCTGACCTGAAACCCTCTTCCACATTTAGCATCACACGACTTCCAAGCTGACCAATCAGCCCAATTTCCGTCCACTGGGCACATATATCCCGTATCACATCTTTTAATTTCTTCTGGCACTCCAGCACATAGCTTTCCACCTAGTGATGGTCTGGGATTGCTACATGTTCTATATCTATAGTGATAGCCAGTTCCACAAGACACAGAACATTTATCCCATCTAGACCAAGGAGACCAATTTCCATCAACAGCACATGGCACATTTACGTCACAATCAACAATTTCTAACTGTGGCCCTTGGCATGGTTTTCCTCCATGTAATGGTTTCGGGTTAGAGCACTGTCTCCAACGTTCTCTGATACCTACACCACATTTAGCATCACAGTCTGTCCACAGTGACCAACTAGTCCACATTCCATCAACTGAGCAAGGACGACTATTTGTACATTTAACCATCTCAATAGAGGGCCCTGTACAGTCCATTCCTCCAAACATTGGTGAAGGATTGTTACACAAACGAACGCGTTCTTGAACTCCCATTCCACAGCTTGCAGAACATTTCGTAAAGTCACTCCACATTCCCCAGTTGCCATTTACGGCACATGCAATACCCGAATCACACTGACGAAGTTCTTCTGCAAAACCTTTGCATTTTAGTCCACCATAAGCAGGCATAGGATCAGCACATAATCTTGATCTGCGCTGCATTCCCGTGCCACACGTTTTCGAACAATGACCCCATGGTAACCATAGCGCCCATTGACCATCTATAGGACAATAAGTGCCGGTGTCGCAGTCTACTACCTCAGTTTTAGGGCCTTTGCATGGCATACCCCCGTACATTGGAGAAGGTAAGTTACATTCTCTGTATCTTTCTTTAACACCTATTCCACATTGTACAGAGCAAAGGCTCCACTTGTTCCATGCTGACCATTGCCCATCGACAGGACACGGAACACCGCTATCACATTTGATTGTTTCCTGTTTTGGACCTTGACAGTGAATGCCACCATAGAGAGGAGTTGGATTTGTACATTCTCTAAATCGTGATTTTATCCCCATAGCACAGTCTGCTGAGCAAACTGTCCATTCTGACCAGAAACTCCAGCCTCCATGAACAGCACAATTTTTTAGAGTGTCACACTTCTTTTCTTCTATACTAACGCCAATACAATCGCTACCTCCATGTCTAGGTGATGGTGAATCGCATAATCTTTTTCTTGCATGAATACCTACCCCGCAGTTAACATTACAGATGCCCCACTCCAACCACATGCCCCATCCTCCATCGACGGCACAGGGCACACCTGTATTACAGTTAACAACTTCAATGTCAAAACCTGGACACATGTTACCTCCAAACTTTGGTGGGGGGTTATTGCATATCCTGTATCTTTCCTGTTTACCCATTCCACAAGTACCATTACACACAGTGTAAGCAGACCAAGTCCCCCAATTACCATCAACTGGACAGGGTATTTTAGTATCGCATGGTCCTATTTCAAAGGCAGGTCCAAAACATTGTATACCACCATACTGCGGGGACGGATTATTACAATCTCTATGTCTTTCCATTTCCCCGATACCACATGTAACACTACATTTAGACCACGCATACCATCCACCCCAACCTCCGTCGATTGCACAATGTACACCAGTGTTACAGCTGATAATCTCTTCTGTTGGTCCTTTACAGTGTAAGCCGCCATACTGTGGAGGTGGGTCATTACAGACACGGGATCGTACTTGCTTACCAATGCTACATGTTACTGAACATGCTGAAAAAGTTCCCCAGAGAGACCAATGTCCATCGATTGGGCATGGTTTAAGAGAGTCACAAACCTCTAATTCCTCTGCAAAACCTTTACATGTAACCCCACCGTATTGCGCTGGTGGATTATCACAATTTCTGATTCTCCTTCGTTCACCCATGCCACAGGACGCTGTGCAACTTGACCAAGCCATCCAGAAACCCCAGTTTCCATTGACTGGACAAGGTTTACCTGTGTCACAATTTCGCATTTCTTCTGATACACCAACACAATCTACACCACCATATAATGGCGCTGGGTTATTACAAACTCTATTTCTTATTTGTTTTCCTACTGCACAATCCGCCATACAAATTGACCATGGCGACCAAAACGACCATGAACCATGAACAGGACAAGAAACCCCTGTATTACATTTTTCAATTTGTTCAGGAGGTCCCATGCAAGGTGTTCCACCAAACTGCGCTGGTGGGTCATCACAAAATCGTTCTCGCTTTCTAACACCAATGCCACATGTTTCTGAACATCCACTCCAAAGAGTCCACAAGGTCCAGTGTCCGTCAATTGGACATGGCTTTCCTGCATTGTAAAACATATATATTGCTTAATCAAGATGATTAAATACAACTTATGCGACATGAAAAACGTATCGATTTCATGTAGAGAATCATCAAATTTAATACAAGAAATGAAAATGTTGATAATGTTAGCACGCATAGAAAAAGTTATTAGGTTATATCACGCCAATTGAATGCGCTACACATATAAAAGCTGGTAAAGTGATATTTTCAACTTGATATTTTTAATTAATCTTATTTTGCTTATCAAATAGTTTTAAAAGTTGTGAAAAACGTACACAAACATTCGTCATTAACTGAATTATGATTTTACGTATAGGTTAGAGTGTATATTGGGTGTTCTTCGTAAATAAGAAAGCTAAAAAGGAGCGGAGCTTGTGAAGCGACTGTAGCTTTCTTATTTACGAAGAACATCCAATATGCACTCTAACCGGCTTAGTGCTCCGCCCACTTGCGTTTTATAATATAAAACGTCCAATTTATATAAAATCTGTTCTATTAAGTTTTGAAACCTGAAAATTTGAAAAATCAAATTCGGTGATTGCCTTAAAAAATTGGCGAGCACTTAGTATTGTTGTATGTGCCAGTTGGTAGTCATTCTGGAGTATCAAATCAGTAAGGCATGACCAATAAAGTCCTGTGGATGATCCATAATCAAATTCCGATCATAAAAGTTTTGACAACTAACAAAAGTGACGTGATCTTATGTAATGTTTTAACTATCAAATATACACCCTGGTGATTTATGATAAGTGTCGCTTGTATATACAACATATGCACCCTGTATTGATATGTTACCGCTCAGTGATGCATATATATATACAAATCTTTTTATTTAAGAAATTAGTTATTGGGAAAAGGTCTTTTACTTTCATAATCCTAAGAATAGATTTGTAATATCAAAATTATCTTACTATCGTCTGTTGCAAATCTTACGTTATAACAGTCATTGTCACATTGTTTTCGCTCTTTCAGGAACATTTATAAAATTCAATCCTTAACTTGTTCTGTGAAAGATTTTTTAAATGGAATAATGAAAAAGAATCAATAAGTCTTGACTGAATACATTCTGCTATTGCTCTAAAGCTTGAAAAACAATCATTTAAAAACATTGACACTCTTATTTTCACGTTTGTCACAAAAACACCATAATTTTCAAAATGACAGAAAATCACACAGAAAACTAGAAAACGATCATTTGAATTTATATTAGGTAATTTCACTGTGTATGGGTGTTTATGAAATATTAAAGTGTGATTTAGTTACTAGCTTTTTGAAACATCTAATAAATATATTCACTTTGAAATTCCGCTGTTCTACCCGGTATCTTAATCTTTGTTGTTTTTTTATTTTCTTTGTATGAAATTTATGTATGCATAAGTCATATTTTTCATGTTATAATCGTAATTGAACGATCAGTAATTACACATTTAACTTTCAATAAGCTAACATTCTATGTATACTGGTAAATAACATATCTTACCAGTAATGCAATTCTGAGTTTCTTTCGCTGGACCTTTGCATTGTAGTCCGCCAAATTGTGGTGCAGGTGACGTGCACGCCCTCACACGGTTTTGTTTACCGGACCCACAAGTGACACTACATACACTCCAGTCTAACCATAGTGTCCATCCACCATCAATTGGACATGATAAACCTGAAACACAGTATTTTGTTTATTCAAAAATCTAAAGACACTTAAATGTTAAGATAAATATAAAGATGGGGTACTATATTCAGTAAGTAATAATTAAAAGGCCTTTCAATAAAAAAGCATTGAATGATTAATAGTTCTTGAGTGAAAATGATATCGACAAGTTAAAGCTTGAGTTGGTTGTTATGGCTTTAAAATTAAAATGAAAGCTAGGGCGGCGTTTATATACGTACGCATAATAATGAAGAGGCAATAATTAGAGATTTCCCAACCTGACTTAAATGAATGATTGCATATTAAAAATGCTTCATTGACGGGACTGATAAACGAATTATGACACTGATTTAGTCCCTAGTAGCTTATAAGTGGTATCTAAAAGCATTTGAATTAAAAAGCATAGTAACATCAACATTTATGTTCATATGGTAATGACAGCGGAACCTCAAAGGCTTGAAAGTCTACTAAAACGTTCGTAAAACTTAAATTCACCAATACGAGTAAACAATGAGCGGAAGTTATTAGATTAGAAAGGCTACCAATTGTAATAATATCCATTGAATAAAAAAATACACGGAATTAATGCTGGACGGGTCAAACAATTTAATTCGGGTTTGCTATTATATAGGGATTTAAATAATAATTAAACCTCGTTGGAATTTGTCATGGAACCAACACACCTGTAAAATACTTGGTGGATTTGTGAAAAATATTGAACATAAATAAACAAAATATATCATAAATAGGTAAAAGACCCCAATGGAAAACAAGAATTCTCACGAAAATAACTAGAATTAAATGCAGTTGCGTGTCTTTAAATATTACCATTTTAATTTTAAACCAATTTTCCATAGCCTTTTTGTTGCAGTCATAGATTATGATTAAAGGAGAATAACTGTTTGTTTTGACATTTGGACCGAAAAATAATAACTTCAGATGCAAAATCAAAATAAGTAAGGTAGCTACAAGAGAAAATTAAATTTGATCTGACATTCAAAACAAACCAGTTTTTCCTATTCGTTTCATGCCCTTTTCGTTATATTAAGTACTTATGACTAACTGTGCCATGCACTCTCATTCATAAAGAAAAATGACGAATAATGACACATTATTATGAAATCATAATTATTATTTATATTTGACGTTTATTACATTGAAGACTTTTCCAAACATTTTTATAAAAGAATTTATACTTGTCCATGTTTAATACCAACAAATCAAAAGTAAAAATGATGTAAATGAAATTTAACTTTAGAACTTTTGACTTAAAAAGTGAACAAACCAAATTTGCCACTATATTTAGTACTTTTTACTTAATAAATTCAATCATTTTGAAAGTCAAGTCTGTACCTTTGTACCTTCTACAGAAAGGAAAATGAAACAATTCAACATTTGTTTTTGCAATGCATTGCAATAAATGGCCTAATTTGAGACATATATAACCCCCCCCCCATTAATCACTAATTGTAGAGGTATTGATTTTGGGTTTTGAAAGTAAAAACATATTCAACATTTAAATAATTAAATGTAAATTTATTTATGTAACATGTAAATAAATAATCTGCCAGCACAAAGAGCTTGAGAACAAATGTGTGTTACCTGTATTACAAGGTGAAACGTCTGTATCGGGACCTTTACACATAAGACCACCATACAATGGGCTGGGGTTATTGCACACTCTGACTCGTATTTTTTCTCCTGTGCCACATGTTGACTGGCATGTACTCCAAGGAGACCAAAATGACCAACCACCATGTATAACACATTTTTTATTTGTATCGCACTTCGTTTCTTCAATCGCGAAACCTATGCAATCTTTTCCTCCATATTGTGGTGGAGGCATGTTACATTCTCGTGTCCGTGCATGAAGACCTACACCACATTTTGCATTACACGGCCCATAATCGCTCCATGATCCCCACAAACCATCAACGGGACAAGGGATCATAGTATCGCATTTTGACAGCTCCTCTTGTGGCCCAACACATGGAGTACCACCATATTGAGGCGGAGGATTTGAACAATCTCTCAATCGGGTTTGTATTCCTGAACCACAAGAAACAGAACACGGGCTAGGTGGATACCATTCAGACCACCCACCATTTACAGGACAATGGACACCTGTATCACAGCTTTCTGTCATAATACTTAATCCTTTACATGGTAGACCACCAAAATTTGGTATAGGGTTATTACATTCTCTTCTTCTTTTTCTTTTTCCAATACCACAATCGCCAATGCATGGTGCCCAAGCGTACCACAGGGACCAACCTCCATTAATAGGGCAGTAAGTACCAGTATCGCAGTCGACTATATCAATATCAGAACCTCTACATTTACGCCCGCCAAATTGCGGAGGCGGATTTGTGCAAGTTCTTGTACGATTGTGAATACCAATACCACAGGCAACATTGCAAGTACCAAACGATGTCCATAATGTCCAACCTCCATGGACAGGGCATAACTTGCCCGTGTCACATGGGATGTCCTCTGTATTCCCTCCAAAACAAATGCTTCCACCATATTGTGGAATAGGGTTATCACATTTCCTTGTCCTGGTCTGCATACCAATACCACAGTTCATGTTGCACTTGCTGTAAGCACTCCATTGACCCCAGTTACCATCTGTAGGACAATGTACACCGGTATCACAATCAGCAGTTTGATCCTGAGGACCCTGACAGTGCATTCCACCATATCCTGGAGGAGGATTAGTACATGTCCGAGTTCTTGCATGCATTCCAATACCACATGATGTAGAACAATGAGTCCATTTTGTCCATGGTGCCCAGTTACCATTTATAGGACAGAACAGGTTTGTATTACATTCTCGAATTTCTTCAGCATTTCCTGGACAAATATCACCGCCATACTTCGGCGGTGGATTTGTACATGTACGTACCCTTTGTTGCAATCCATTTCCACACGTGGCAGTGCATCCTTTCCAAGGCGACCAAGGGGTCCAATTTCCATCAATCGGGCAAGGAATTCCAGTATCACATACAATATTTTCGACAGCTGAACCGAAGCACGGTTTACCTCCATACTTTGCAGATGGATTGTTGCAAACACGCACGCGTGATTGGCTACCTGCTTCACATGTTACATCACACGGAAGCCAATCCGACCAAAAGCTCCACATTCCATCTATTGGACATGCTACCCCAGTATTACACACTTTTTCCTGTAACGAGTCACCTTTGCATTGCCTTCCTCCAAACAATGGTTTCGGACTATCACATGATCTAGTTCTTTTCTGAACTCCAATAGCACAGGTCACTGAACATCCAGTCCAAATTGACCATGTGGACCAATCACCGTGTACTGGACAATTTATACCTGTTGTACAATCAACTACTTCAACATCTGGGCCTTCACAAAGACGTCCCCCATACATCGGTGTAGGATTATCACAAAGTCTACTACGATCTTTAAATCCACTTCCACAATCAACAGAACATAGTGAGAAGGGAGACCATTTTCCCCAGTTGCCGTGTATGGGACAAAATACACCAGTATCACAAATTCGCTCTTCCGTGAATATTCCTTTGCACGGAATACCGCCGTAGTTAGGAGCAGGTGAATCACAAAACCGTTTACGATGCTGTAAACCTTCGCCACATTTGGCTGAGCATGTGTACTTTGTCATAGCGAAAACCGCCGTAAATGGGGCATACATTCCCGTTTGCCATTTTTGTTCTTCTTTCCCAAAAACAATTTCCTCCGATTGAGGCATGGGAAATAAAACCCAAAGTTCTCTGTTTCACTCCTTTACCACGGGTCCCTGAGCGGGTAATACATTCCCATACCTCCAACCCCATGCCAGACAATTTGATTCCTGTATCACATATACTTTCTTCCATCTCTGAACCGGGACAGAATTTTCCACCGTACAGGGGTGGTGGGCTAGAACACGATCTTGATCTCATAGAAATACCAGAGCCACAGTCTACAGAACAAGCTGTCCAGCCAGACCAGAGAGACCAAGATCCATCAATTGCACAATTGATTTTAGTGTCACATTTTCGTTCTTGAAACATATCACCTACGCATTCGAAGCCACCGTACATTGGTGCTGGATTTGTACAAGTTCGCTTACGCTTTTGCATCCCTATACCACACTTAACATTACAAGGACCGAAATCTGTCCATAGAGACCATCCACCATCAATAGGACATGGCACCCCAGAGTCACATTTTAGTGTTTCAAGAGGATGACCAGCACAATCCCCACCGCCATACAATGGAGGTGGATTATTACAATCTCTTGTGCGCTGTTGAATTCCTAATCCACATTTTACAGAACATTTAGTGAAAGTTGTCCAAGGTCCCCAATTTCCATCTATGGGACAATTTTTTCCTGTATCACAAATTTGCTCTTCGTGTTCAAGACCGATGCAAGGCTTACCATTATACATAGGTATAGGATTATTACACACTCGTGAACGTTGAATTATACCAATACCGCACTTTTTATTGCAATGCGTATATTCTGACCAAGGTCCCCAGTTACCATTCACAGGGCAGAATATTCCAGTATCACATGGCATTTCCTCAAAGTCTGGCCCAATGCACATATCTCCGCCATAAAAAGGCACTGGTGCATTACATATTCTTTTTCGGGATTGCATACCAACTCCACACTTTTCTGAGCAATGAGTGTAACCTGTCCATGGTCCCCAATTACCATGAATTGGACATTTCGTTCCAGTATCACATGGTAATTTTTCAAAATCAGGCCCATGACAAGGTAAACCTTTGTATTGCGGTGGAGGATTGTTGCACACTCTCGACCTTTGCATTGATCCTACACCACATGTAGCAGAACAAGAAGAAAGATCTGTCCATGCTGACCAACCTCCATCGATTGGACAAATTATCCCAGTTTCACATGCAATTTCTTCTATATCTACGCCAAAACATTTCTTTCCTCCATATTCAGGAACAGGATTGTTGCAAATCCTCTTACGTGAAATCATACCTTTACCACACGACACAGGACATTTTGTCCACAATGTCCATATCCCCCAGCCTCCATCTACAGGACATGGAATGCCTGTATCACAGGGTCGTTTTTCTAATTTTTTGCCTTTGCAAGGTAACCCTCCAAACTGAGGAGGTGGATTATCACAATTACGTACTCTACTTTGCAACGATGACCCACATTTAGCATCACATACACTCCATTTGCTCCAAAGCGACCATCTGCCGTGAATAGAACATTTAACACCTGTGTCACAATCAATAACCTCTGCGTTAGGTCCGAAACAGTCATCTCCTCCGTGCATTGGGATAGGAGAATTACAATGTCTTACTCTTTTTGTTGATCCTATACCACACGAGACGGGGCATGGAAGAGGTGGTGACCATTTTGACCAGCCACCATGCACTGGACACATGACCCGTGTATCACACATTTCTTCATGTATTGGACTACCGTCACATTGAAGTCCTCCAAATTTAGGTGAAGGGTTGTTACATAAACGATGCCGCTGTCTGAAACCGACCCCACACGAAGCGGAACAGGAACCCCAAGGCAGCCAATGAGACCAAAAGCCATGTACCGGACAACTTATTCTAGTATCACACTCCTTCTCCTCACGGTCTATTCCAACACAGAAAGAACCTCCATGTTGTGGAACAGGGCTTGTACATGTTCTTGTTCTCCCTTGAATTCCTCTTCCACAATCTACGCTACACATTGAATATTTAGTCCATTTACTCCAACCTCCATCTATTGGACATATAATGCCGGTTTCACAGCTTTGTTCATCTACAGGAGAACCCATGCAATCTTTTCCTCCAAAAAGTGGTACAGGATTGTTACATAATCTAAAGCGTCTTGTTTTTCCCGAACCACATTTTGCAACACATGGTGCAAAATCAGTCCAAGCCGACCATTGTCCGTCCACAGGACAGGAAATTCCGGTGTCACAATTTTGTTTCTCTATTGACGGTCCTTCGCATATAGCACCTCCAAACTTGGGTGGCGGGCTGTCACATTTCCTATTCCGTTTTCGAAATCCGTTACCGCATTTAGCTGAACATGCTGTAAACTTCGTCCATTGGCCCCACTCACCAGGAATCGGACATGGAAGTCCCGTGTCACATGGTTCTAGAATAAATGTATCCCCAATACAAAGTTCTCCGCCAAACTGTGGAATAGGATTATTACATTCCCGTGTACGTTTACGCATACCTGTTCCACAAACGGCGTCACATTTCCCGGGTTCAGACCATCGACTGAAACCTCCATGGATAGGACAAGCTATCTTTGAATCGCAAATAGCTTCCTCCACGGCTATTCCTGCAAGTTAATCAAAATAAAGTATCTTTCATTGCTTTAATTTAAAAAATATTCCTTAACACCTCAATCAATTTAAGTCAATGAGAAGCAATGTTAATGAAAAATTGATAACTCTGGTAGATAAATGTAATTGCGCAATGTCTAACAGCGAATTATGGTTTTCTTATAAACACCTACATGTCAGAGTGAAGAGGTTTACAGGAATTATTTTGAGACTCTCACAACACCTTAAAATATAACAGTAAGTGCTTTCTTTAAATTTGACTTTTATATATATTAATCTAATAATTGTTTTACTTTAAAGTAAAACACGCATCATGTACAATGTTGTTTTAATACTAAAATACCTGGACAAGTCTTTCCACCGTCTTTGGGTAAAGGGTTGTCACATTGCCGGGCTCGCATCTTGATTCCCATTCCACATGTTTGTGAACAGAGACCCCATTCGGACCAAAATGACCAACCTCCGTCGGCTGAAAGAACGAAATACTGGTGTTTACATAACTCTCTCTCTATCATATCCAGATTTAACATAAGTTTCTTTTGTTTCAACAAATTCTTTTATTCTGTTGAAATTTCTTTTTTCTTTTCCTTATTTAAATTTCTTAACCTTCAATGCAAGTACAGTGACGAACAAAACTTAAACGACAATAACCTTTAGAAAGAAAATGAAGACATAGCTCATGCATAAAATGACATGTTGAAGTTGTGAACCATACCTTTATGCTTGATTCACCTCGTAAGACATTGGAGTTGATATTTGTTGATACTGTTTTGTATTAATCAATTAAAATTAGATTTGGTAATTAGATATCGATGTGAGATTCTATATATCATTATAAGTTTGATTTCATACATAAGTATAAAGTTGAGTAGAATATTTAATGATATAATACACTTAATTAGCGGACAAAATAAGATAAAATTTACTTGGGCAAGCTTTGACAATGCATTCTACGATGTCAACGTACTTCCCTCGACACGCGGCGCTTGGCTCGCCATTCAGTGTCATACAGGTACGAGAACGAGTTCTTGTGCCGATGCCACATGGTGAAGAACAAAGAGTAAAATCCGACCATCTAGTCCAGTGGCCCATGGTATTATCTAAACAAATATATTGAAACATGTATTATAATAACATAATACGACAAAACAGCATGCTACAAATTTTGTGCTACGAGTTTATGTTTATTACTTTCTTTAAGGGCCTCTTGCAAAAAAACATAAGAAGTAAACTGGAATCGGTGTTAAGATGGCAAATTGCAAGGTAATACACTGATATAATCTAAATTGCGATACGTTTTAATAGAGTAAAGTTATAAACAAAATCTACGTTATTTTTACCACCTCTTGCATCTTATAGGACTTAATAAACATAAGAACTTTAAGTTATCATATTTGGATTCCTGTATAAAATAAATGGTAGACATTTCCTTGTCTGAACATTTAACAACTTAAAAGCGGTTGAACTAGTTTTGACAAAATAGATACCTAAATATCTTAACTGGAAACCGTGATAAAAAACAATTTGTTTCAAAATAATTTTACAGTTCCTGGAAAACAATTATAACTTGATAGTATAAAAATATTGGAAACGTGTGAGTGTAATAAGATAGTTTTCTCTGTTTTTTTTTTTTTTTTTGTTTTTTGGGGGTTTTTTTTGTTTTGTTTTTTTTTGTTTTTTTTGTTTTTGTTTTTTTGTTTTTTTGTTATTTTATTGTAACTTTAGAAGTATTTTATTTTATCAACAATAAAAGCAAATTAAATAAAGAAGCTGACTAAATAACGAGTATCTTGAAATTTGAATAAAAAATGTTCTCAACAAAGTTCATCAAATTGAATGTCATGAATTTTATTGTCCTGGTTCATTTTTATGTTTTAAAATGTTTCTATAAATAACTTTTTTTACCATAAATCAAGCGTAGACCATCACTCAAAACACATTTTTATCGAATGTTTCAGATAATACATCTAGTTTATATGACATATTGTATCAGAATGTCAATATGCAAAAAAAAAAAATGTTAACTAATCAGAGACAGACAACATGACATAATGGCCTCATAATTGTATCATAAAACCATTAAACAAGACGTGTGAGACTCGACAGTTTGTTTCGGTTTCTTTTCTCTTTTTTTAACTGATCTTTGTTTACATGATGTTTCTTTTTCATCACCACGTGGCCATTTGTATTTCATGAATCTTAAAATATTTTTTTTTGTGTTTCTGCTATGGAAATAAAAATATAATTTCTTTCATTTTCAAGAGTCCTTTTTAGTTTAAACAATATTTTATTAATAATCCACACATTTACATAATAAATTACATAAAATAAAATTTACGGATTGAGTAGGAAGCTTATAAAGCTTTTTTGAAAACTCTCTCCGTAATCAGTATTTAACAAATTTCAAATAAATGGTAACAAAATATAAATATCTAAACTAAACTATACATATCATATCGACTTGTTCTTGATTTCTTACTATACATACTATGTTTATGTCAAGTATTCATGAACTAAATTTAAGATACATTGCTGTTAGATTAGAGGTATAAGCACGAGTATGAATTCATTTTTAAAGGGATATATTGCTTAGTTTAGTGATTGGTTAATTAAACTAATATGTTGAGAAATTTAATTATTAAAGCATGTACATTGGAGGAGAAGTAATAATAGAAGAGAAAAAGAGATAAGAAACAAGAGAAAGAAAGAAAGTCACTTTACTACTATGGAGTTGGAGGACCTTTTTTCTTTTCAAACGAATATTATTATGTATCAAATCGTTTTGTTTTTTGTATGTATTTATGTATATGTGATATAATTGTTTCGTTTTGAGCACCGGTAAGTGAATTATCGCCCGTATAGTAAATTATTCAATGTTACAGTTGTGATTTGACTTAAATTGTTTATAAGGACAGTGCGGTCATCTTGATACATGGGGCAGCGGAGGAAATAGTGTTCTGTATTTTCTATTTCACCACATATACAAAAAGGGCTGTCTATTATGTTTTTAGAAAACAGATGTTCTTTCAGAGAGCTGCAATGTGTTCTTAATCGTGTATGTATTATTTGATATCTTCTTTCACCTATATAATAGTGATCCGGAACTTTTTGGACATCTTCATTTAGTCTTTTTTTGAAAATTGCAAGCGATGGTGCATTTCTTAGTTCGACAGGGAGATCATTCCAGTCTTTAATCGAAGATGGTAAGAATGAATTTGAATAAAGTTGAGTTTGACAGAAAATATTTCTAGTGTTACTTGCATTTCGTAAGTTGTATACTGAAGTTTGTCCTACTGTGTTTGGAACTATGGAAGATAGATATTGTGGAGATTAGGTGATTGAACATTTTATATAGCAGAATTAGTTTGTGTTTATAGCGTCTTACTTTTAGGGTTTGAAAAACATGTGTCTTCATACAGATTTGAGAAAGAAACAAGTTTCGTTGTACCAGTTATAATTCTGCAGGCTTCAAGTTGGATTTTTTCTAACTCGAATTCATCTTGTTGAGTAATATTATCCCAGACTACATCTGAGTATTCAAGAAGAGGCCGGATGAAAGAAAGATATATAGTTTCGAGTTTCGAGTTTCGAGTGATCTACGATCAGTGATGAATTTTAAAGACCTCATAATATTAAGTCGTTGCCATGCCTTTTGTGATATGTTCATTATATGGGTATGCCAAGTTCCTTCAGATGAAAAAGTTACTCCAAGATGTTTGTGAGTGGTCACCTCATTTATTTGTATTCCGTTCATACTAAGGGGAGGATGAACAGGTTTATTAACCTTACGGGAAAAAATGACAGATTCAGTTTTATTTGGATTGAAAGTGACAAGCCATCTGTTTGCCCATACAGTAATTTTTCTCGAGATCTAAGTTTAGTGTTGCAGCAGCGGTAGCAGGATTGTCAACGATAATATACAAACTTGTATCATCTGCAAAGAGTCTGATATATAATTTATGTCAAGGACAATATCGTTGATATATATGAGGAAAAGAAGCGGACCTAATATAGACCCTTGTGGTACTCCAGCTGTGATAGAAGCCATTTGTGATGAGCCGCCAGGAAGAACTACTTTTTGTTTTCTTTCAGAAAGATAATCGCGAAACCAATTTAATAACACACCATTTTTTTTTTGTGTTTCTGCTATGGAAATAAAAATATAATTTCTTTCATTTTCAAGAGTCCTTTTTCTAGAATAATATGCAGAATTATTTACGGCCATTGCCCATATTTTGTTGCGTACAGTCATATAAAAAAATTCATATGCTCTGGAATGATCGGACTATAATAAGGTAACGGAATATCATTGACATTCACGAAAACTTGTTTGTGTTCGAGCATTACATAACCCTACCCCTACCTGATATTAAAAGCGAAAAGATGTTATCAACGCGGTATGATCAAACAACAATAGACACCATTATAATAATTTACATGATAACATTTGTTTATGAAAATTTTAAACTAAGTTTAATACAAGAGAATGCTCGTCTTCTTTTTGCTTTAACAATATCGTGTTCCTTCTGTCTAATGCACGTGCAGCTGTATATGATAGATTAATTGCTTAACTCGTGAACGTAATGGGAAAACTTTAACATTAAAACATTTTTATGTTCACGATGCACATATACGATATGGTTATTCTGATAATAATGTTACTTTAAAATTATTTTAAATGTGCTGCGTTTATTGTTTTCAATGAAAAAAATAACCAATGAATAATTATTAAACTTGAATTACCTTAATTAATTGCCTCTCAGTCATAAAATAATTTACAGATATTTAAACTTGCAGTTATTTACACAGTAAAGAAGAAAAACTTTTTGATAAATTAGGCGTGCCAGAATGTTAAAGTAATGAAGATTAAATGAAAGACTTACCTATGCAAGGTCGCATATGACACATTCGTGTTTCTGCGGCGAAACCATGACAATTTTGTCCTCCATATAAAGGTTGAGGGTTGTCACAAAGCCGAAAGCGCATCTGGTAACCGATACTACAGGTTCCGGACGACGAGCACATATTCCAGTCCGACCACTTCGACCAGCCGCCATGGATAGGATCTGTACACGTTGAGAAAATATATCAAGTTTAATGTTAATATCATATTATATAGATTTTAATGTAGACAGGTTAATGTTTTCTTCTTTAATTTATCTGAGAGTGGAACGTAATACAAAAGTCACTTTTCTTTGTAAGGCGATGCATCTCGTAGTATATAATTGACATATATAGAAATTTATAAGTTTAAAATGTTAAATTTAGCAGTACATAACAAGACATGTATTTGAATTACCCAAATGTTTTTTGTCGAGAAAGTTGTAAATTCAAAAGTATAAGATAGATTATGATGTATTACCGCTATACATTCTACAATTTATAAATGAAGATTGATGTTTTATCGATTACATATTTGTTCTCAATGTATCAGTACATGTTTTAATATAGGTCAGTGAGTGATACATTTATAACATAAAACTACATGTATATCTACAACAATAAAAGCATTTAAATATTGTTGCTTCCTAAGAGTTCAGATTAAATTCAATTAAAATGAATTTACGTCGTTAAATCATACATGTACTTTACTTTGATTTTGTGAATCATTTTGAAAATATGATTATATACTATTAATTATGTATGCATGAAATAATCATTTTGAAAACATTTTGTAAATGGTTTGTCAATTTACATCCGACATAATGTTTCATTGTTTAACAACAGACGCTACGAAAAAAATATGAGCCGTGTCACGACAAAACCAACATAGTGCGTTTGCGACCAGCATGGATCCAGACCAGCCTGCGCATCCGCGCAGTCTCATTAGGATCCATGCTGTTTGCTATCAGTTTCTCTACTTGTAATAGGGTTTGTAAGCGAACAGCATGGATCTTGATCAGACTGCGCGGATGGTAAACAAGATCAACAAGGAAAGCAGGCGTTCAATGAATGCTATGTTTTAAATCCTACCTTTTAATAATTTGTAAATAAAAATATTTCTTGAGAGTGAATTAATTAGGAACAAACCATTAAACATTATTAGGTTCTTGCAAATTATTAATGTAGATGTAGACAGACAGAAATGTTTAATGGTGTAAACAGCACATATCTTATGTCCTGCAGTTTACAAATATACACGCACATATAACCTTGCCAAATGGTTGAGTAATGAAACAAACAATAAATACATTTTCTACATAAATTTATAAATTTCGAGGATGATAAATCAACAGCTAACATTTTCTTGTTTATATGTTCATAAGACAATTTGATGTTGCTTTTTTTGCACCAGGATCGTCTTAACATAAATGTGTTATACATTTATATGATTTCGCAATATTTGCAAAAATAACACGATTATCTCATGTAAACAGCTCGTTAAACTTCGTCACATTTGATCTCCTTAAAATATGCTTAGATTAACCGTTTTCTTATATCTGGCTACACTGGACATTCAATGACAAAAAATGCTATTCATCCTATATGTATTTCCATTCATCACCATTGCTACTAAAACACTTTAACGCTCATTTCTCTCTAAGCTAAGGCATAACGCTTCCAAATTTAGATGGCAATCTATAAAAGATACATATCGAATCCTAAAGCATTTTCATAATGATTGCATGTATCAAATTTACCACTTTAATGTATCCAATGGTGCCATTTTGTTTAAATGTATGTATTACCCTTTCTTTAAAAGATGGAACTTAGTTAAGTCAACTCAGAAAAGATTGTGTCATGCATATGAAAACCCTAAACAATCTAACGAATATTTAACCTTACACACAAATATTCATACATTTCTGATAATAACTTGTTAGAATAACACAAGATTTAAATTTAAGCTTTTAGAATATTAAGTTGCTTAAGACGTTTATTAACAAATGTTTCTTAATTGTGTACAAAGTTACCGACGTAATTAAAAACTAAAGTGAATTAGAAGTATCCGTACTATGTACGTGAAACATTCACAAAGTGTAGTAGGACCTATTTTTCTAAACAGAACTAATTTGTCTTAAAGTGACATTATGCTCATTTTTTACTGTCAAGTTGGGGTAAATCAGGTGTATATTTCAAACGATCGACTATTGTATTGGCGACTGAACAATAATTGATAAATAAATATGTTTAGGCTAAAATATAAAAACTGCCTAAAAAAGACAGCCCACCACTTTTTTTATAAATTGAACATAACAGGCGGTTTTCAAAGGATATTTGAGCCGTGTCACGACAAAACCAACATAATGGGTTTGCGACCAGCATGGATCCAGACCAGCCTGCGCATCCGCGCAGTCTGATCAGGATCCATGCTGTTTGCTATCAGTTTCTCTACTTGTAATAGGGTTTGTAAGCGAACAGCATGGATCTTGATCAGACTGCGCGGATGCGCAGGCTGGTCTGGATCCATGCTGGTCGCAAACCCATTATGTTGGTTTTGTCGTGACACGACTCATTTATAGATATTTGTATGGGATCACGAGGATAATTGATTACTCAGGTGACGTTTATTATAAAATTGAAAGCAAATATGATAAAATGTAAAGTTATTTCAATTTTATATTTATCTAGGAGAGGCATAATGTCACTTTCAGAGTATCAAATTCGAATCCCATTTAATTTTCAAGATTTTATTATTCACTCAATACACAATACATGTAAATATGAGGTAAATAACAAATTACAAATGTTAACGAGGTTAATAGTATGTAACTCACACATCTTACAATATTCTTTTAACATAGACAGGAGAAAGTTTTACATTCATACAAAATAAAATGAATTATTTCAAAAATATTTATCAAAGTTTAATATAATAATTCAGTTCAATATTTTTCTAAGATTATTTTTATAAACATGCAAAGTTTTTTATATATCACATAATTAGAGGGGTCAGTGTTCATTAATTTATCAAACTTTATTATATTTGGATTTCTATAATAGATTTCAGAGATATATTTTTTTCTATCCGTATTAAGATTTGGGCATTCTAATAGAAAATGAAATTCGTCGCCTATGTTATGATTGCAGAGAGTGCATTTTCTCTGTTCTAAAGGGATCCTATGCCAATTTCCAGTTTCGACCGGTAGTTTATGATTTCTGGTTCTGAATTTGATCATATATTTTAAATATTTGGAAGGTGTTTCACTAAGATATTTCTCAATTTCAAATTTTCTTTTAAAAATACAATAATTTTTGCAATTAGATGTGTTTTCTAGACCTGAGTACCACTGATTTATGAATATATCTGATAATTTTTGTTTAACTGATTTAACCAGCCAATTTACGTTAGGAAATTCATGACTCATCCAAATATTAGCCATTCCACATTCTATAAAAATATCTTTTATGCAAGTTATCCATTTGAAATTGAAATTTGAGTGACTATTTTTAAAATTACTCAATGCAACTGCATATATTTCTGTTGTAAGCTTTTTGTAATTTGTTACAATTAGTTTTGCCCAAAATGAAATCATCCTTGCTTTAATTTCTATTGATAACGGTTTGGTACCAGTTTCACCATAAACAATTATATTTGAGGTATTTTTCTTAAGACATAAAATATGTTTTAAAAACTTAAGTTGCACTCTTTCAACAATGTCTAAATTTCCAAATCCCCAGATTTCACAACCATATAAAAGTATAGGTTTAACCATTTTATTAAAAAGATCAATTTGAATATTTATAGGTAAGCAGAGATGTTTGCATTTTTTAATTAAAGAATACATAGCTTTTGTAGCTTGTTTGGCAATTTCTTGCTTTGTTTTGAAAAAAGAACCAGATCTGTTAAATAAGACACCTAAATATTTGTATTCATTTACAATTTCTAAAGTTTCGTTTTTGAATGTAAAAGTGTATTCGCGTTGTCTACCTCTTGAAAATACAAGTACTTTTGTTTTAGAAGAATTTAATTTAAGTCTCCAAGCATCACAGTAATCAGCATAGATATTTAAAAGGTTTTGCAAGTCTTCTGCAGATTCTGCCATTAAAACGGTGTCGTCTGCATAAAGAAGTATGAAAAGTTTTACAAAATTTATAGCTTCTGTTTCGAACTCATGTTTGTTGCATTTTACACCTGATGCTATATTACTACTGTTAATAAAATCACTTAGATCATTTAAGTATAGAGAAAAAAGCAGGGGAGATAAATTTTCACCCTGTCGGACGCCGACATTACAAGGGAAGTAATCAGTTTTTTACTCCATTTACAAAAATGCATGACTTAGCTTTTTCATACATGTTTTTTATAACATTTAAGAAAGATCCATTTATATTGTTAAGAATAAGTTTTCCCCAAAGACCCTCTCTCCAAATAGTATCGAATGCTGCCTTTAAGTCGACAAAAGCACAAAATAAAGATTTTTTACTGGTTCTTAGAATTTCTATTAGCGAATTTAAAACAAATAAGTTATCTGCTGTTGAATAACCTTTACGGAAACCGGCTTGGCATTTATCAATTAAGTCGTTGTCAGTACAATATTGTTCTAGTCTGTTATTTAAGATTAACGTAAACAATTTACCAAGGCAGCTTAAAGGGGTTATTGGTCGATAATTTGATGGATCAGAAGGGTTACCTTTATTTTTAAATATTGGGTTTACTAAACCTGAAGTCCATGCGATAGGTATTTTGCCTGTTTTGAATACTATATTGAATAATTTAAGAAATACTTCTTTAGTTTTGGGAAACGAATATTTTAAATGTTCATTCAATACATTGTCAATACCACTGGCTTTATTATTTTTCAAATGTTTGATAGCTTTTTCAATTTCTTGTATTGTTATGGGTTTGTTTAAGAATTCATTTGTTTCCATATTTATTAAATTATCATTTTCAACATAGTCAGTTTCCTCACAGTAGTTTATATCTTTAAAATAGTCGTAAAGTTGATTTATGTCTGCACCTATTTTATTTTTTTTCTTTCCATTTAATAATTTCCAAAATTTTCGAGGCGATTGTGATTTGAGTTTCTTAAGTTTCTCTACATTAGAGAATACAAATTTTTTATGACTTTCATGCAGCACATTTTTATATTGTTTACTTTGATTTTTTAGATTTATTCTATTT